GCATAAATTCAGAAGGTTTAAAATCAGAAGTCGTAACCCGAATTGTCTCTTTCCTATGTGATTTATCTGCATTATTTGAAAATATTTTGCATGAAGAAAATAGTGATACTGAAGATGAAACTATTAATAAAATTTCTGATGCTTGATGATAATCAAAGAGACAATCCTGGTTTTACTGAGTCTCAAGTAAATAACAGTATGCAGCTTCCAATTCAAGATCATTTTAAACCTCATCTTAGTTTTTCTGATATTGAAAGTATTGTTAATCCTTTTTCTGGTAATGCATATGAAAATGTTGATAAATGGACTGATGAATTTGAAGATGTTATAAAATCTTTGAAATTGAGTGATTTGCATAAATTAGTTTTTGCTAAAAGATCATTAAAAGGTAAAGCAAAACTATTTATTCAGAGTGAACCTAAAGTTAATGACTGGTGTAAGTTAAAAAGCTTTTGAAATCTGAATATGGTAAAGCTTTTAATTCTGCTGAGTTGCATGAAATGTTATGTAAGCGTAAATTAATGCCTAATGAATCTTTAGATGAGTATTTTTTGAAAATGAAAGAAATGTGTTCGCGAGGTAACATTGAAGATGCTTCATTAATTAAATATGTTATTGATGGTATTCCCGATTCGGTGGTGAGGAAAACTATACTATATGGTTGCGAAACAATAACTGAATTTAAACAAAGGCTTAAAATTTATGATAGAAATGAGATCGGACAATGATAAGTTTAAAAATCCGAAACCGAAAGTAGACACTCAAGTTAAAGATAGAAGTAAGCTTGCGTCATCAAACCGAAATCAATCTAACGTTAATAAGGTCAAATGTTTAATTGCCAGGAATTTGGGCATAAGTCATCTCACTTGTGTAAACAAATCGAAAGGGTGTAAAATGTTTTAAAATGTAAAAAGTTTGGGCATTAATTCAACGAACTGACTGTCCAGAGCAGACCCCCGAGAAACAAGCTTTATTACAACGAATTTCTGATAAGCATAGAATTATGAAGACTGTAGAAATAAATAATCATTTAGTTGATAGTCTAGTTGACACTAGTTCGGATGTAACGATATGCAGCGTGGAGTTACAAAAGCAGATTGGTTCTCCTAATTTAAATTATAGCGATATCACATTAAACGGAATTGAATCAAAGCAAACGTACCTCGGCTTTTTTATTTCTGATATTTCAATTGATAGTTTTTTACTTCGTACGAAAATCTATGTTGTTAAGTCTTTATGCAATCAAATTGTATTAGGTTTGGATGTATTGAATCAGTTTAACTTCTCTTTTACCGAGAATGGCCTTCAAATAATTTCTCATCGGAATAAAAGTAATGTAAACTTGATAACTGCTGAGTCATCTCGAAATTCTAACGTTCGTTTGCGTTATGGGAAATTTGAATATTGCTGTGTCATTGAAGAATGTTTATGATCCTTTCGCAATCGTCTGGCGTCTCTGTTAATGTAAACAAAAACTCCCGAAAGCGGAAGTGCTCGACGTTTAATTACCTTTCACATCTGGTGAATGCTATTTCTGTCAACGAGATTGATTTATCGCATATTTCGAATGCAGAACATAAAGAAAGACTGTGTAATTTAATTAATTCGTACCAGCCTCGGAAAAATAGACAATCTGACTTCAAGATGCAAATAAATTTATGCGATGAAATTCCTGTCTGTCAAAATAGAAGATACATGTCTTTCGCGGAACAAAAATTGTTGACGATCAAATTAAGGAATGGTTGAAAGAAAAAATAATAAAGCCTAGCAATTCTAATTATTCGGCGCTATTGTTTTGTGTAACAAGCGTGATAATTCGAAAAGTTTATGCATTGACTATCGGAAATTAAATAAGAAGATTATTAAAGACAAATTTCCACTGCCTTTAATTCCGGAAGTACTTGATCGTTTAGAACAGTCAAAGTCTTCACGACACTAGATTTGAAAAATGGCTTTTTTTTTCCATGTAGACATAGATGAAAATTGCACACAAATATACCGCTTTGTAACACATAATGGTATTTACGAATTTCTTAAAGCTCCTTTTGGTTTATGTATTAGTCCAAATGTTTTTCAAAGGTATATTTATTCAGTATTTCGTGACTTGCTTAAATGAAGGTGTACTAATTATTTATATGAATGATATAGTCATACCGGCTAATGATGAAGTTGAATGTTTAGAAAAATTAGAAAGAGTATTCAAAACTGCTTCGGAATATGGATTACAAATAAATTTCAAAAAGTGCCAATTCTTAAAACGTAAAATTGAATTTTTGGGACATGTAATTGAAAACGGAACTATTCGACCATCGCCTTCCAAAACTGTTGCTGTTCAAAACTTTCCACAACCGCGTAACTGTAAACAACTACAAAGCTTTTTAGGACTAACGGGATATTTTCGTAAATTCATTCCTCATTATGCTAAAATAGCTAAACCTCTTAGTGACTTACTTAGAAAAGGTATTGGTTTTAAGTTCGATTCCGAACAACAGGAAGCTTTTTGCAGATTAAAAGAAATTCTCTCTCAAGCACCTGTTCTACATATATTTAGGCAAGGATATCCATTAGAACTTCATACTGATGCTAGTAGTCAAGGCTTTGGTGCGGTATTACTCCAATTGTCTGATGATGGTAATTATCACCCAATCCAGTATATGAGTAAGAAGACTTCACCGCAGCAAGAGAAACTCTGTAGTTACGAATTAGAAGCCCTTGCAGTTATAGAAGCTCTGAAGAAATTTCGAAACTATTTGTTAGGGACTAAATTCAAAATTGTAACTGATTGTAGTGCTTTTCAGAAAACTTTAGATAAGAAAGATTTAACTCCTAAATTGCAAGATGGGCAATGTTTATTGAAGAATTCGATTACGAAATTGTACATCGTTCAGGAAGCCAAATGAAACATGCTGATGCTCTTAAGTAGAAATGCTTTAATTTTAACATCATACACATCCGATGTAACTGAAAAGATTCGGTTAGCACAACAACAGAATGAAGATGAACATGTGAAATTGATAAAGAATTTAGTTGAGAAGGGAGAAGAAAATGGATTCTTCCTGAGAAATGATATTTTGTACAAATTTGAAAATGGTAAAGATCTCCTAGTAATGCCAGAATCCTTACAGAACGAAATCATACAGAAGGTACATAAAAAAGGTCACTTTGCTGTAGATAAAACTGTGAATGCCGTAGAGCAAGAATTCTATATTCCCAGACTGAAATGCAAAGTTGAAAAAGTAATTGCTAACTGTATAGAATGTATACTGTACAACAAGAAGCAAGGAAAAGCAGAAGGATTTCTTCATCCTGTACCGAAAGAAAACATTCCCTTGAGTACATACCATGTTAACTTTATTGGACCTCTTCCATCGACGAACAAGAGATACCAACACATTTTAACTGTGGTCGATGCTTTTACAAAATTTACTTGGTTCTATCCAGTGAAATCACCAACTACGCAAGAAGTTATTTCAAAATTGAAGCAACAACAGACTGTATTTGGAAATCCAGCCAGAATCATTTCAGATCGAGGTAGTGCCTTTACATCGAAAGAATTTTCAGCTTATTGTACAGAAGAAGGTATAGAACATGTCAAAATTACTACCGGTATTCCAAGAGGTAACGGACAGATTGAGCGAATCCATAGAATTTTGTTATTCCTGTTTTGTCGAAATTATCACATGAGGATTCAACGAAATGGTTTAAGTATGTTCCAGATGTCCAGAGAATAATCAACAGTACAACTACGAGAAGTACAAAATATTAACCGTTTGAGCTTCTCATAGGCACGAAAATGAAGAACAAGGAAGATCTGAGAATTAGTCAGATATTGAATGAAGAATATCTAAAGCAGTTGATGCAAGAACATGATGAAATGAGAGAGAGAAATGAGAGATGCGAAAAACAACATTTTGAAGATACAAGAAGAGAATCGTAAGCAATTTAACAAAAGACATAAGAAACCGAAACTGTACAAGATTGGCGACTTGGTACTGGTTTGAAACTACGACCTAAGTTTCATGGACTATATAAAATCATAGCTGTTAAATCAAATGACAGATATGAAGTCAAAAAAGTAGGATGCCATGAAGGACTGAATTTGACATCCACTGTGGCTGACCATATGAAGCCATGGTCAAATTGATTGATGTTTGTATCAGCTCAAACCTAAGGACCTGATACTCTTTTTTTTTTCTTTCTTTCTTTTTTTTTTTTTTTTTTTTTTTTTTTTTTTTTTTATTCTCTTTGCAGGTAGATGATAGTGATGTCCACTCAACAGACATCGAGGACGATGCCCCTTCAGGCTGGCCGAAGATGTGGAGATCATCGACGACCGATGCTGACTTAGCGAATTACCAGCGTGGTGACATCATCCCAGCTTAGCGCAGTGCAGAGCAGTTAAGACAAGGCCAGATAGCGTCCAGACGTGGACGAGAGTGGAGCATAGCAGATGCAAGCAGATGGCTTGCTTGTCCTCAAGAATTGAAGAAGACAGATGGTCTTCTTTGGTGTTTAAGTGCCTTTGATGCTTAGCCAAGCCGTACATATTATTTAAAGCTAGCTGTGGATATTAAGAGAATAACATATTCTATCAACTCTGGTGGCAAATAATAGTGTGCGTGAATTGCTCATCATTACATGAATCCTGCAACATTAATTTTTATTTACATTTTATTACTTTTATCTATTTCTTATTAGTAAAATAAAAGCATTTAAAAATGCAATATTCGTGCTCTATTTGAAAGTAAAACCTTCATGTATGAGGAGGTTTCTTGGATATCTGCAAGAAAAGAATCCTCCTCTTCTTTGGAGGTTTCTTTTTAAATTACTCAGATAATTTTCTCCCCTCGATTTTTAGATGATAAAATTAATGAAGGGGAAAACACGAGGAAATACTGTAAACAATATAAAATGTTGTGAGAAAATTGAAGCAATGTATATAAATGTAATGTATTAATATTTCTTTAAGAATTCTGCATTATAGTAATAGAATATCATACCTAACTTGTTCAAGAACTTTTTTGGTCTCATTCAGTACCTTCTTTATGGCTGAGGAACTTCTTTCTGTATTAATGGGAGGAGAAAACTTTTCAGCGTTTCTCACAGCAACCTGAAAAATGTAACACATTTTTTAAAAAACAACAAATAAACCATTCACAAGAAAAAGGCATTTTAGGTTGATATTTGTTTTGCAAAATAATTCGGTGGATTTTGAGAAAAAATAACACACGGTCCACTTTCTTCAGAAAGCAAAAAAAAAGTTACTCATAAAGAGCTTAAATAACTATTGAAGAAGAAGAATGCTATGACAGTTTCCCTTGAAACGTATACTATTTTCTTATAAAACAAAACGTGAAATTTTTAACTAAATTTTGAATTTCACACATATTCTCTTTTACATATTTAAAGCAATTTTACTCATTTGAAACTATACAGACGTAATAAATCATGATCCGTCCATAAAGTGCTTGCATCATTTTGATTTAAAGCATGAAAATTTATGCACTTTTTAAGTAACCTGAGGAATTGAAATCTCATTCCATCTACCTCACGATACCAGCAAAGGTAAATAGAATCCCTTGGGTATTATCTACTATCAAAAACACAAATTTCCTGACAAATTTGGAGAAAATGATGCAAAGTATGAGTGTCTAACAGTGGTGAGTGGATGAGATCAAAGAACACAACCTAGATATAAAACTCACTAAATGACTGGCTGCGCGAATATTTTTGTGTTTTTCATCACCTGTAAAAAGGAATACTGCACACTCCACCTTTGGCAAAAATTATTTGAGGGAAAAATTATTTTCAACTTATATACCAGCAAAAACAAAATACAAAAATGACTGAATATTAAATGCAAAATACAGTTTAAAATAATGCCAATTATATAACGATATAGCTGAAATATCTTCAGCATTAAAAATTTCTTTAATTATTCTCAGTTATGATTAAGTCTATATGTCAATAATCAGAACAACAGAATACAAATACTACAAGCATAATAGAAGATTGAAACAAACCTCAGCAGCTTGTATAGCCTTAGAGAGAGCTTCTTTATGATCTTTTGCTTTTCCTTCAAAGGTTTTAAGAGATTTTTCATGACGTGAGATTGAAGTTTGCAGACAGTTTAACTTCTTTCTGCATTCTTGAATTTCTGACTGGGGAGAAAAAAAAAATTGCAAATTTGCAAATATTTTTGAATAAATCAGCAAATCTGAATGTAATTTAGTTCTCCCCGAAGGCTTTAAAAACTTCAAAAAATAAAACAGCAGATTAAAATAAAAAAATGCACAAAAAGACCACTACATTGACATAATTAAAGTTTGTACAATTAAAATAATGATAATAAGGATAACATATTCATAACATACCAAGTTCATATAATAATACCTATTTTTGAAACGTGATTGAATTCTGAATTTTAATGGATAAAACAATTTAAATCCTTTATTGCTTTATTCCGTCCATGAGTTCATCAGCCATAAAAATCTCTAAAAAATTTCACCTGTTAGTATTTTCCAACTATCTACACATTCGATTTAAAAAGCAATTCACATCTGACCTTGAAGCAGACATGGGTTGCTCCATAAACTGCAGAGGTAATGGTGAAAGAAAACTTACTGAAGACTTCAGAAAAGTAAATTATATAAAAGATGATTAATGTATTGCATATAAATCATTCTGTCTTCTTTTCAAAAAATGTGCTCAAGATGTTACCTACATGGCCGCTGGAGCCAAGAATGGCAGTTCACTTTACTAATAAGTCAAAGACCAAATTTAAATGTGGATTCTGACTCTACATCTTATCAGAACATTAAACAGTGTACTATATTTTTCATCATAATGCACGTTTCATTTGGTTAACTTCTTGTGCAGATCAGTGCACCCATTTATGATGTACGAAACATCATTAATGGTTTCACTGATCTCTAAATTAATGAAGGTTTTGCATATGGTATGTTCATGAGGCTCTGCACAAAGAGAAAAAAATGTTAAGATTCTTAAAGAGAAGCAAGATAAAGTAACATAGTACAAAATATTTCCACTACTTAAAAAGAACCTGTAGCATATTCCCTTGAAATGCATACAGCATTTAATAAATTTAAAATCAAGCTAAAATTAAATTTGATATAATATATATGGGATGACTTAACACTTTGAAGGCCAAAACGCCTGAAACAGTTTTTCATTTAAACAATCACAACAGCCCGAGATCAGAATGTTGTTTTCTTCCCTCCACCTAAGGTATGCAGTAGCAGGTGCAGTTTCTCCAAATGCACTGTATCAATTTACTGAACACAGCTTGGTCTAAAAAGCTAATGAAATGGTTAAATCCACCCTGCTAGGAAGCAAAAAGGATGTCATTTCAAATATTCACACTTTTTCGTGCATTAATGAATAGGGAGGGAAGGAAACGTACGGGATGGGTAACGGACTGGGACAGGATATACGTATTTTAAACATACAGGTTAACGAAGACTTCGGTTTTCTAAGGGTTAAGATACCAGGCTAAAATCTATCAGTCTGATTCTAGAAACTTTGAGATCGGCTCTGATACAAAAATAAGTACACTGCACAAAAAAAGGGGGAACAGTTCTATATCTCCCGTTCTACTGGGCTGTTTGATGAAATTCAACTTGCAATTTTCATGTTTCGAAAGCGTGACTTAGGATATCTATTAGATTTATATATAACATTGTTCTAATATAAGTATTTTGACGCAAAATCTGACTTTTTCTGAAATGACATGCCGATTTTTTTCTATATTTCAGTTCTACAACTCAAATTATGCCAAACTGCCAAGTTTTGTAAAAATCGCAGGAGTACATTTTAAAAAATTAGCTCCTCAATGTTAATTGAGTTTGGTATATATTTATTAATCTCTCTTTTTTTATTAAACTTATTTTAGTCTTCCTTTCACATTTCGAAATTTTTGTTCATTCCAAAAAAAACTCACCCATTTTTTATGATTTGTTTTAAAAATTTGTATATTTAAAAAATTTTTATAAATTTAAAATTTTTACCATCATCTTAAAGTAGATGTATTTCTAAGCATACCTGCAAAACACTAGAGTTTTTTATTAAAAATTTCCGAAGATATATGTGAATTTATATATTAGCACGTTTTGAAATTTGGCATATTTATTGAAAGGGATAAAACATCAAATGTGGTTTAAGCACTTTGTAAAATTATTTGAAAGTAGGAACAATGTGACTTTCTTTCCACTCCTTCACAATGGAAGGGTAAAAAAAATAGATTGCCATATAACTAAGACACAATAACGTGCTGAACAAATACTAATTCAGAAGTCAAACAACAAAAATCAGCATTATATTTTCAAAATTTTTACAGGACTAGTTTCGATGGTTTTACCAAACCACCATCCTCAGCTGCAAAACCGCAAATGGCCATATATTAAGAAGTTCGGCAAGTGAATTATCCTTGGCACAAATGGGAAAAAATATGCCAAAATAAATTTTTAAATTTCTCCATAAATTTCCCATCAAAAATTACAAAATTTAATATATATGCATAATTTGAGTCGTAGAATCGAAATAAAAATAGGTATATGTTATTTCAGAAAAAGTCCATTTTTTTGTCAAAATACCTACATTAGAATAATTGACGAAGAAAACGAGACTAAGAGTGTAGCTTGAAAACAGAGTGTTGAGTTGGCTATAACTGTTTTGGTGATGTCATGCCACACATTTCCTCTAACCATGTGGCTAGTTTCGACTTAACCAACCACGCCAGTGGGGAGTACTGCGTCACTGAGTGAACACGAAAAACTGCATTCTGCAGGAAAAATGTCTAATGTAAAAACAAAACAATGAATCAATATGAAGTTTCTTGTGAAACTTAAGAAATCAGCCATGGAGCATTTCAAATGTTAACCAAGGCTTATGGAGATGAAACTTTGTCTTGTGCACGGGTGTTTGAATGGCATAAGCAGTTTTCAGGGAGAAGGGACAGTGTGAAAGATGAACCGGCTGGGTGCCAAAAGGGGCCCCCAGGACGTTCATGATTTAGTGAGTTCCCAGTGGTCAGACTGTTAATCAACACTGCTACACTGATATACTAAAATGACTTTGTGACAAAATTAGGAAAAAAAAAGGGGCTACAGTTGTGGAGTGATGGATGGCTGTTGCAAAAGGACAATGCACTTGCTCACGTGGCACTATCTGTCACGCAGTTTCTGGCTACCAAAAATGTTACTGTGATGGGGCATCCTCCTTATTCACCTGACTTGGCTCCATGTGACTTTTTTCTATTTCCTAAAGTTAAATCTTACTTAAAGGGAGCCCATTTTACCTCAGCTGAATGGGTTCAGGCAAGAATCTTCTAAAGGGCCTTCCAAAAACCACTTTCAAGAACTGTTACCAGCAATGGCAGCACCGAATGCAGAATTGCGTGAATGCTGAAGGGAACTACTTTGCAGGTTATAATGTCACAGAGAACTGATTCTGTAAGTACAATAATTTATTGGGCCAGTCTCGTGGTTTTTTCCCACACCTCTTATATATCTAACACATATCCTAAGTCGCGCTTTCGAGACATGAAAAAACGCAATTTGAATTTCGTTAATTGGCCCAGTAGAACGGGAGATATAAACAGGGCCGTGGAGTCGGAGTCATGGCGTCAGAATCAAGTAGATTTTTGGGTAAAAGGACTCGGAATTGGAGTTGCTAAAAAACACGTCGACTCCAGTTTTTCTTGAACAGTTTGAATTTGAAATGAAATTAAAGTGAATTGAAAAAAAATTAATGACAAACTGAGTTAATATTTTTATTTATGGACTATATACATTAATAAATAGTTATTTTCTATTTTATTGACATATTAGTAAATAAATATAAGGGAGCAGGATGGAGGTTATATTTACAATTATTGATTAAACTGATTCATTTAGTTACTAATCTCATTGGTGAATTCAGGTAAGCAGCAAGAACTCCCAAAATTGATGCCATTCTTAGGAAGCGAGCAGGAAAAGGAGCAATGCGATGCATAAGTACATATTTGATGATACAGTTGTTGTTAGGATTAAGAACTTTTTTAGAAGGTGTAAATAACAGAAAGACTGTGGAATGATCTTGCAGAACTGGAAATCCTTCTTTCAACACCGTATATAGCTATATATAGCCACAAAAAAGCTACAATCTGAAGAATTAACAGGAGATGAGAATGTTAGAAGATGCAGATAACCTTAATGTTTCACTAACAGAAAAACTGTGTAATGATCTTGCAGAATTGAAAACTCTTCTTTCTATACCGTATACAGCCACCAAAAAGCTACAATCTGAAGAATTAACAAGACTCGAAGAATGCGATGTTTGTTCTTTCTGAAATGGAGGGTTTATTGCAGAAGGAATCATTTCTTCAATAAAGAAGAGAAACTAGTTTGCCAGACAATAAAATCGCACTGGGTTCAATATATGTAGATGCAAAACACCGAATTTTGTTGGATGACAAACAAATTAAAAAGGAAAAGAAAGCCATCTATGAGCTTTCATTAAGAATGAAATTATTCTCAGAACAGCTGGAGTATTCAAATCAGGACAGTCAAACTGCAGATATTGCAACTGAGTCTCTATCATCCTCTTCCACTGATGAATTAGATTTTGAGAAATATTTGGATAATATTGAAAAGGCTAAGGCAAAGTGAATGAAAATAAAGAACCAGGAGCCTTTAGATATAAAAATGAAAAAATACAAATAAGATTTATACACAGCCTTTGAAGAAATAGATAAATATGACTGCTCTTGCAAGACACCTCTTTTAGAACTTACAAAATTCTATCCTGAAAAGTTAAAAGAAGTAGCCCTAACAGTAACAGCTCTTCCTGCTACTCAAGTCAGTGTGGAAAGACTCTTCTCAGCTCTGAAGTTTATCAAATCGGATCTACGGTTCTCTAACAAAGAAGATCGTGCCGAAGTTTTACTGTTTCTTCGAAATTACTAATGCCAGTTTTTCCATTTCATAATAAATGCTAATTAATATGAAAAATCTGCTTTGCATCAATTTTAGCATCTACTACTACTTTTATATTAAAAAAATAAGCTGTACCCATGTTTATATGTTTACATATATATGAAGAAGTCGGAGTCGAAGTCAGAGTCTTTAAAATTTCAGGAGTCGGTCATTTTCCCCACCGACTCCACAGCCCCTGATATAAAACTGTGACCCCCTTTTTTTTTGTGCAGTGTACATGACTTAATTCACAGTCTAATTATTTTTATGAAAAGATACTGCAATGCTTGCATATTAATGTATGGCAATCACCCACTATGTTACATAAAAAAAAATCAATTCCGTAATCTCAGAAGCATCCCATGTTCAGTGTTCAATCATTTTTTACAAATTCCTCTTCCTTAATTTATGGAATCATGCCTCGATAACTTGGTATGCATCTATTTATGCAGGGTTTCCATCACAAACAGCAGTACTTCCCTGCAGACTCAGATATTTCCACAATGGGCCTCGTGCTAAAGGAACATGAATAAATCCCAGGATGAGAAGTCTGCAGTGATAGGCTTAGGGTGAGAAATTATAAAATATTAAACATATGCCTTGTATTAATATTTTATAAAATAAAATCAGTGGTCATCTTTACTGTAATGTAATAACTATATGATTCATATAGGTATAACACATAAAAATTATTTCAAAACAATTTATAACATTAAAACCTATCAAAAAGTATCTTATTCAAAATGGCAAAGCAATCCATACATTCAGGGAGTGATTCTCCTTTTGTTTTTTTGATACAAGATCTCTTTCTTCGTCCATTTTACTATTGATTATTTGTAATGCTGCTTCCTGGTTTGAAAGCTGCACTTCACAGTTTTTGATTTTATCTTCCATTTTCTTTTTTTCTTCATTAAGACGATTTAGATCACTTTTCTAAAATATATAGTGTACAATTTAAACTTTTGAAAAGCATAAAAAATAAGTACTAACTATATGAAAACATCATAAGATCAAATCGACACAATAAGGCATTTACTTTTTCAGGATATTTCAGTGTATTGGTAAATGCAACAGCATATAAATTTGTGCAATAATTTAGAATTAATGAAACTAAAATTTTAATTATAATAAAATAGATAAATAAAAGATATATTTAGAACACATTTAAAATGCAATAAAGAAAGCAAACTTAAAATATAAAATAGTGCAAAACTCAACTTTTTCAGCTTTAACTACATTACAGTATTATTAACTTCATGATGATCAACTCCTTACTATAATTAAGGGCCTTATCACTTCTATTGACGCGTGTGGCTAGGCAGTTCATTTCCGAGAAATGAGATTCTAGTAGCACTGCTTTAAGCGGAAGGCTAAAAAATGTTTCGTCTAGCTAGGTGAAACATTCTGAAAATTTTCCGAAAATGTTCCATCTGGTAACGTGTTTCGCGTACGTTGAACCAATCAGACAAAAGTTCTGCTTCTTAAGGATCACAGGTAATTTTCAATATGGTAATGGCTCTTGTTGTGAAATCATGGACGGTGGAAATAGATACCGATTTAATTGCAGAAATACAGAAAAGCCGTATATATAGTGTATATATATATATATATATATATATATTGCTGTTTTGTTGTAGTATAACTGTCTAAGTCATTTTTAAATATTTATATATTCATTAAATTTATAATTGTGGAAATTTCAGTGTTTTATGACGTGCTATTTCTGATGATTTGTTTACAAATTATTCGTCGCCAAAAGTTTGCCAAATTTGTCGTATTTCGGGCTGATCGTGTGAAAAGAATGTTATTGTTATATAACAGAATTTTTTTTTTATTAAGGGGAATAATTTTTTAAAATACTATGTTTGCATATGCGTGACTTTACTTTTCTGCTAATTACTTTTATTACTTTTAAATTGAAATTGCATAATCAGCGATTATGTTAAAATGAGCGATTATGTATATTTATTAGAACATAGATTATTTAATAATGAGGATAGACATTAAATTTGTATGCTATTATCTTCATGTTATTAATGGAATGCTTTTTAGATTATAAGCAGATAAAGAACTATATTTTTATTATAAATGTTACATATTGAAACCCTGGAAATTTATGAATTTATTATTATGATGAAAAGCATTTGTATATACATTCATTAATGAAAAGCTTATTCATTACATTAATACTAATAAACATACATCAACAATTTATAAACCATCGCATCTCTCTATGTGTAGGTAACTATTATGTGTATATATATATATGCATGAATACAAAAATGAACATTGCCAAAAAGTTTATTTGAAGTTACTTCTGATTCATATAACGATTATGTAATTGTAAGCAACTGTAGTCATCAGTTCTTTGCACATTATCATGGATATGGAATACACAGTTGAAAAATAATTGAAGTGCATTTTGTGCATTAGGCTAGTCATTAAAATTCACCCACTTACACACAACCTTTGCATTTGTAACTCTACTTGGAAATTCAAACAAAAAAATTGAGTAGGTAGCCTTTATGAAATATTTAACATTTTGGGAATGAAATAAAAATTTTTGACTCATCACAAAACAAATATCAGTAAATGGTGTTATATCATGTACATAAAAGTTATTAAATAAATATATGGATACAAAAATAACTATGTACAATAATAAAATCAAATATATACAACATATCACTACAAAGAATAGGACTTCTCTTTACATGTTTTTTCTCCTTAGCTTTTAGAATTGCAAGGAGTTGAGATAAAAGTGATTTACTTAATACCTTTCTATTATTTTCCATAACAATAAAGTTTAAAACGAAAAGAGTGTGAGTGATACAAAACACAACACGGAAAAGCAGTCGTCACTTGAAAGGAAACATCACTTTCGCCAATCTGAGCAATAACTGATTCTTGTTCGGCTTTCAGCCTGTTTACCAAGTCAAGACGTTAACCCAATTTCACGGAAGCTCACTTCCCAGAATTGTTCCTTCTAACGTCATGTTCCGGCAACAAATATCGTAAGTGATAGACGTTTTATATGCAGAAATATTATATTATAATATTTAATGCAAAAATATGAATATATAAAAATAAAATACATAAACATGATAAAATATCTATAACATTTGTTTAAAAAAAGGTGCAAAATATTATTCAAGGCTTAAAATGTTCAAAATAATTTTGAACGAATTTATTGAAACATTACTAAGGCTAACTTTAATTTCATATGTGAATTATGTATTTACTGGCAAAATTAATATAATTTTATGATTCATACATTTTGATTTGATACTACAGCTTATTTACAATTGATATTAAAAACTGTGCGTCTGACAATTTTATGCAGTAATTTTTCTTTTTTTTTTAATTTTGCCACAAACATTGATCTTTTAAACAGTTTGCTTACCATCATGTTGAAAATGCAGTAAATAGCTTAGAAATTTCCTCAAATAAAGAAAACCTTACATTTTCTTATGAACCATCAAAACAATTTTCCTTCCTCAAATAACATATCCTGCCTTTAGAAGAAAATTTGTATTAAATTATGGACATGCAGGAAGTGATACAGAAATTTAAACAAGATTTTTTAAGAAGTATAATGTAATATCATGTTATCAGACGATTTCACTTATTTTCATTTATTTATTTATTTAGAATTAAAAGGAGCATGTGAATAGAATGAAGTTAAACGGAGGAAAAATTTCTAAGTTGACATGTTAAAACCATGTTCAAACATTAGTAAAATAAGAGCTTTTTGCAGACAAGAAGACTGATTTGTAATTGATGGCTTGAAATTTATTTAACTTGGAATTAATGGCTCTTGGATTCAGACATAAAGGTTGCTCGGCGAAACTGCTAAAGTTGGCCTTTTCTAGTGTAACTAAATTTATGCCTAAGCAAGCTGTCCTGACTTTGTAGATTTCTGAGATTATGTCCCCTAAATGGGGTATAGCTAACAGCTGGTGAAAAGTGCAGGAGGCACCTAGCATACACAAATATAAAATGTCCATAGGAAAGTAGTCCAAAAATCGAATGTTTTGAACATATGGTATGCAAAGAATATAAATGTGAAAACACGTTATAAAGTACAGTGCATATACAATCCATGATGTTATTCTACAAAAATCACTAAATAGAATGTGCTGGATCTGGATAAATTTGAAGAAACTTGATAAGAAATATTTACATTGAGAACTTGCACATTATGATATGCAGGAAACTCGGCAATTTCATACTCATTCCGAACTTTCATTTTACCTTCATCATCAAGAATATGACTTTTCTTGAACAGATCAGTGAGCTAAGTCCAGTTGAGTTTGTAATTCTTGATGATAATGGTCAGAATTTTGTCGAATGTGTGGAGAACTGAAATTCATTAATGTTGTGCTGTTTGAGTTACTCCTTCATATTTTTTTTCCAACAGGGTTTTTTAAGGTGGAAATAGGAAAAGAACTAGAAAATAATATTTTTCACATGTTGCATAAAAATTTCAGCCACAATGGGTGACATTGATGCATCCGTAAAGAAAACTTGCTATTTGTATGTTTGCTTGTTGGCTGCAAACACTGCAAAACTGTGGATGGAATGGAAAGCTTTGTAGTTGTTGATAATAAATTTGGTTGTTGACCAATGGAAGTAGAAGAAAGAATGGCTGAATGCCAACATGATGATGATGATGCAATAAAAGAACATCTCTGCTCAAAAAATAATATTTATGATTAAATTATTAAAAATCTTATGTCATATTTCATGTGTAATAATCTGAATCAAATCAATAATACAGTTCCGAAGCATTTAAAAAATTATTTGCAAAGCTAAGAATGCATTCTACATTATTTTATAAGCGAATTTACACTAAAATTGCAACTGAAAATATACTGAAATGCCACACAGTAATATAATTTCGTAAAATTAAGAATACTTTTTTTTTTTTTTTTTTTTTTTTTTTTTTTTTTTTTTTTTTTTTTGACTAAGATTTTATTTTGAAAACTTAAGCATTCTGCTTACCAGGTCACTTATATCTCTTGGTTTTTCAATTTTTCTGTTAGCTTCTAATTCTTCATTGAGTTCCACTACCATAATTTCCAAATTAATTGAGGCTTCATCTAAAGATTTACGTTCGGCTGCGCATTTCTTGAGCTGTTCAGTCAACTCTCTAATCCTTTTGGCTTTATTACCTATTTCTTCATTAATGTTTTCTAATTCACTTTCCGTCTCTCTAAGGAATAAACAATTTTTGAAGGCTACTTAAAAAACAATAAGCAAAATTAAGAAAATAATAAAGTATTATGTAGGAAATACAATTAATAGAACAGATTAAAAAAAATCGCATACATATTTAAGTTAGGCAAAATTTATACCAATGATTCACTAGTATAACAGACAGTTCTCATTCCTGTTATAAAGACAATTTTGTTGCGATATCTAATACTAATCATAAACATTTTGTGTGTAATAGGGCAAAAAACTTTTCATTACCTCTGTGAATAAAATTTTAATTAGGTAAATATGCTTATGATTATTGTATCAAATATAAGTATACATACTCTAATATTAAACAATCCTGTATCTGTTAAGAGGTTGGATACCCAGACAAATATTTTAATATTTTACTAAAAGCAGCAAACTGATTAAAGAACATATTGATGCCCTTCTTTCTCCCTCAATATTTTTCATAAGTTTCATTAATGAATTTTTAATAATATAGAAGCAAGTCTTGAAATATCAACTATGCCTACACGAAAAATCAAAGCAGAGACTTTGCTTGCTGCATGTGTACTTAAAAACTTGTTTGAAAGTGCTTTAAAAAATTATAAAGTACTATTTATAATATTAGAATATATAATTTATAATATACAGAATGTAAGAGCAATCACTCCACAGAAATTGTTTTTCCATATCTATCATTCGCCATTTTTGGTCTTTAATGAAAAAATAATGTTACTTATCCCCGAACGAACAATTTACTGCATCGTTTGTAAATCACATGTGCAGTACAATGTTTCCTGCATGAACCCCTTCCAAAAAATTTTGGCCAGAATGGAAAATTTAGAGTGAGTGACCGATGACTGATATGGCCTGAATGGAAAATTCAGTGTCTGTCACCGGTGACTGATGCGACCTGAATGGAAAATTCAGTGTCTGTCAACAGTGACTGACGTGGCACTCAAAGTGTTAATATAGCCTAAATAAAATGATCAGCAATTAGATTTGATAAATTTGATAACATACGTACCTAATATCTTGTTCATAGAATGGGCTTAATAAACCTATACACAGCTTTTTAGGACAAGAATAATAACGATAAAATTCAGGAAAAATTTGGTCCCCATTTTTTAAAAAAGCTGAATGGCAATATTTAGGAGGTGCATTCATCATAAGTTCTATGGCAGCATCAAAATCATCAATTAGGATAATACTTTCAATTTGTATCTGAAAAAAACAAATGAAAAATCAATTTTTAATTTTAAAACACTGAAGATCAAATAATTCTCAAAATTTCGATACTCTAATAAATACTGTTTTCAGTTTATTGGTATGAAAGAGTATACAAATTAAATTTTAACAGCAAAGCAATATATATTTCACTAACGTAATTCAAAGAGAATGAATTTAAAATCCTCCAAATAAATATTTAAAAAAAATTAAATGCTTTCAGATTTTATATTATGCCCAAAGGGGCATCTTTTTAATATTTTGTGTGTAACCTTTATTTATTAAATATCATGTTCTTCATGCTTAAACCATAAAATTCAATTCTATAGAAATATTGCAAAATAATTTAAAAAGCATATCTTTAAAATTTCCGATACACAGTCTCGTGCGCTTGATATAAAATTTGTTTTTCCCCTCAATACAGTGTTGCCACTGCTCGCTTTGAAATTGTGGAGTTTCTTAATCAAAAACTCATAAATGCTTTACAAAATATGAAATAGATAATAAAAAAAATTCCAAATTTGGGCTTCCAGATGCCCATATTTCAGTGGAGTTATTCAAAATTTGATGGCTCTAGGTACCGTTGTGTTATCACAATGCGAGAAACATAACATACATTTATGCAGATTCTTCATTATTTAATTTCTTTAAATATAATACTGGGCTTTTACATTTGTTGGCAAACATTTTTAAAACAATTCACCTTTTATAGGGAATCAATGCAAAATGCCAAAACGAAATTAATAGCCCATCTGGGCAAATTGCCCTTTGGGCTAAAAAAGCTTTATTTTAAATTTACTGTTTAAAAAAATGCTTCATTTTCCTGTATCTTTTGCCTTAAAAAGGTTGGTGTTATCTATACAGTACATGCAAACCCTCCTTGCATGCAAATCATAATTATGTAATTATGTACACTCTGCTCAAAAAAAAGGGACCAGTTATATACGTCCTGTTCCACTGGGCCAGTTGACGAAATTTAACTTGCGTTTTTCATATCTCCAAAGTGTGACTTAGATTTATATATAGCATTGTTCTAACATTGGTATTTTGACAAAAAATCGGACTTTTTCTGAAATGAGAAATCGAATTTTTCCATATTTCGTTTCTATGAAACAAATTATATCAAAGTGCCAAGTTTTGTAAAAAATCGCATATGTTGTTTTTAAAAAATTAGCTCGCAAAATTTTAGCTCCTGAATGCTAATTGAATTTGGTGTATATTTATTACCATTTCTTTTTTCCTTAAACTTACTTGATTCCTTCTTCTCAATTCGAAATTTAGGTTCAATCCAAATAAAGGTCGCAAATATTTTCGGATACATTTTTAAATTTGTATTTTTAACTAATTTTTAAAATTTTTTCAAAAAACATTTTGAATTATAACCTGTAAAATATTTACTATCACTTTAAAGTCAATATATTTGTAGGCATAACTTAAAAAAATAATTTTTTATTCAAAATTTCCCAAGATACGTGAATTTATATATTAGAGCGTTATGAAATTTGAATATTTGCCATAAACTATAATAATGCCAGACGTTATGCACTTTGTCAAATTTATTTAAAAGAATGAACGATGCACCTTTTTTCTGCTTGTGCCCAATGAAAGGGAAAGGAAAATAGATTACCATAAATAAAGAATTTCTCATCAAGTAAATTATTCTTGGTGCAAACTGTAAAAAGTACACCAAGATAAATTTTTAACTTTTTCTGTAGGTTTCGAGCCAAGTTTTACAAAATTTAATATTTAAGTATAATTTGAATCATAGAATCGAAATATGGAAAAGGTCAGAAAAAGTCCGATTTGGGGTAAAAATGTCTGTTTTAGGGCAATGCTGTATATAAATCTAACATATATCCGCCCACCAGCGGCCGAGCGGTAAAGTCGGCAAACACTGGTAGTTCCGTCCGAGGTTCGAATCCTGCAAACGGGCTGGCTGCATAGGCGTTTTCGTGATTTTCCCCATGTGTAACGTGTATATGAGCCAATTTCCCTTAGAAAGTCCTCCACGAAGGCATCCCTTCCCTTAGGCAGATAGCCTTCAAGGCTTTGCCATAACAACACACACTAACATATATCCTAAGTTGAGACAATGAAAATGTAAATTAAACTTCTTCAACTGGCCCAGAGGAACGAGAGATATCGAACTCTTTTTCTTTTATTTATTTAAAAATTTTTTGCAGAGTGTACTTCAAGCACTGCGGCAGAGAATTTGTCTTAAGTGCTGCTACACAGAATTGTGAAAATCTGTGCATTCAGAGAACTTGCTATTTTAAGAAAATGCTAGAGCTTAACATACAAAAATCCTCCATTTTATTCTTTGGATATCCTTTAAATATTTTGCCAATTTTTCAAAGCTGGAACCGGATAAATTTTCATCACAGGAATGCTTTACCTACCTTTCAAGCAGTATATAGCTTACAGGTACTGAAATTTTTAAACACCCCAACAAATAATTTAGTTAATAACAATGCATAAATGCTGTTGATGATTATATTTATTAATTACGAATGCTTTTTTAAGCATTAGAATGCTGTTTACTTTACTAATTAATCGTGAATTTAGTTTATTTCATTTGCAAACAACCTAATTTTTTTTTAATGATTTTAACAGGGTTGCCACTCAAACAGGAAAATGAAATTCCCTGACTTTTCCAGGTGTGTTTTAAGAAAATTCCAGTCTATCCGCGTAATGCAAATTGGCTGTGCTAAGAGGTAAATTAATTATGGTACCACTTGAAAACACAAAAATTTGCCAATTGCATATGACTTATTACATATAGAATCCTGAAAGCATTACTAGTATAGATATAATAGGAATTGTTTTCTCCACTGAAGATTGAGATTAGAATCTGCCCAATCTGGATTTAAAAAAGACCCTTATTTTTTTTTTTCCCAGACATTCTGCAGCTAAACGAAAGAAAAATCTATTTAATGATATTTTTAAATAAATTCTAGTATTTTATATTAATTTAGTAGCATGCATAATCAAAAAATACGTGCATTAAATTTCATGATGGTATGTCATCATACTGCTAGAATTAATTTCAGGATTATGCAGAGAAAATTTCCTGAAATTTGAAAGTATTATTTGCTAATAAATAATAAATAAATTTAGAGAGAAGAAGCAACATTAAATGACATAAATAACATTAAAGTAAAGATAATTATTTTAAAATTGAATTAGAATAATCAAAGATATTTTGGCAAATACAGTTACATTAAATGGTTAGCCTAGGTGACTGATTAGTATTTTTTTTTATTTTACTGCAAAATGACAAGGCATTTATTAAAAAAAGGGGGCTAAAAAGATTTTGTGGTAAAATCCTAGTATACGCTACGGCCTTGGCACTATTTTGAAAATTGTCGCCAACACTAAAATGACCCGTTTACTGCTCATCATATTATCCCCAAATCCCGTGTATATGGTACATGGAGGCTATTCTAACTTCCATGGTACCCTATACTAGTATTAAACAGATTTTTTTTATATGAGAATATGTATTTTCCTTAGTTCAACATGCACTGCATATGTGCATGGGAGTCTCTTGATACTCGAGGTTACTGGAAACCAAAAGTTGCTGGAAACTTGCTTTGCCTTTCATAATTCGCCAAGAAAGTGATCGCTTTCAATGTCGGCACAAAAATCGCTTTTTTGGGAGGAACAGCCGTATGAAATTCCCTAACTTTTCCAGATTTTGTCTAAAATATTTAAATTCCCTGACTTTTACCTGAATTTTTTGGTCAATTTTCGTATTCCCTGAGTTTTTCCGGTTTTCTAGGTACCGTGCCAACCCTGTTTTAAAGTATTATGAAAATTAAATTTTTATATAACTCTTCAAAATAACTTCATTAAATAAATACCTAAGATAAAATAAGGATAAAAACAAACCATATCAATTAAGCAATTTGCTACCACTGGATCTTTTATTTTCAACATATCCAACACAGTCGGGTACGATGACACAGCTTTGAAAGATTCAACATTGTACATCTATATTTTTTAAAAAAAAGGGATGTTAGTTATATACCTGTTTTTTAAAAATTATATTCATGAATAAGTATGCAAAAATTAGTAAGCCACCTACAATAATCGCAAATCAGTTTCAATTTCAAGAAAATCAGGATAATTTCATAAGAAAAACCTTTCTAAATAAATAACATTAACATGATTTTCCTGTACTTTCTTCATATTTTAACGTTTCATTTATTACATAAGAACTACAATTTTTAGAGCTTATGTAGTACATCCTTTTCCAACAGATTACCAGCATTTCAATATGGTTATTAATACAACCACAATACACGGTTATCCATTATACAGAACTACCAAAAAATTAGTATTATCTCAATAAAGTATTGGTCGAGAGTATTATACCTATTAAATAAATGAAATTTTCTAATATTTTCGTAGATACATCCTTTACTACCTTACAGCAGTTTAGAGTAATAAATTTCAGAGCAGAAAGTGAATTACACAAACATGTAAAACATTTTAATGTTGGAAATTTATTTTTCCCACTTGCTGTGGCTCTGAAAAATTATGTCCAAAATGTACTTCGTAAAGCTTCATGTAAATGGAAGCGTGCTTCTTCCTAATACTTTCTAAATTTTTCTCTCTTTTTGTTTGATTCTACGATATTTTTTACCTTTCTATTCGGAACTGCAGTGCCTTAGATTTCAGCCATGTGTGCAGGGTTCCTGTACAGATCAACCAAAGCCTGTCCCAGTATTCAAGAATATATTATTACTAGAACTTTTCACAAGAAGGAAAGGAATTGATGTAGTTAGCATAAATGCCCAAATTCCTACTGAAAAAACAAAGATTTTAGAGATTTCATGCATAGTATCAGCTTTCATGCCTCAGTAGTAGCAGTAACTAGCAATTTTATTTTGTTCTGAAATTAAATCACAATATCCTCCATCACATGCTGTTAGAATCTTTAATTTGTTTCCAAGATATCTGGAGTGTATTAAATTTGAATATAGTTCTAATGTTTACAAAACATTATTAAGCTGCCCAGCCGAGACAGTAGTTAGCGACGCTGACTGCAGCACCAAAGGGCCCGGGTTCGAATCCCGGAGGAAGCATGGATGTTTGTAAATGCATAGTATCTATGAGGCATGGGGCACTCTAAATATGCAGCAAGCGGAAAGTCCTCTCGAGAGGTTTGCGGTAGAAGAAGAGGGGTGAGAAACCCTCAGATTCATCTCCTTGGGGTGCTCCCCATTAAAATTAGGGGCAGAATTGAGCTAAGTCGTACTGTCATTCCTTGCCACGATGAATTTCGTGGGCTTGCTTTGATGCTACTGTCATACAAGTGAGATAAGTCACAACAACAAACATTATTCTACATTATTTATACAATTTTGTCATTATGTTCCACGCTTAAAAAAACACGGCCTTCACCTACTTTATGAAATGTAAAATCACCAGTCCTATCTTTATCAACAAAGATCAATCACTGTAAGATGTCATTTCCTGATGGATTTCTGAATCCACAATTGATAGTTAATTATCAGTTACACTAATATTTGATTCTGCTCTCAAATTTCCTGCCAGTCTTACTTTTGAATAATAATTCCCAGCTGATTTTTCGATTTCAGAAGTTCACTTACAACTAAACTTTCCTTTTGAACAAAATCTGCATTTTAGCTTTACAAACTTTGTATTATGGCCTTGTTTACCACATATGTTGCATTTACCTTGAAAACAAAGATTATTGGCCGATTTCACAACAAAAGCACTTTGTATCCAGAAAGCCTGTTTTCGCATACTCTGTCATTAGCTTTTCAGAGTTACATCTGTTCTTATTTCTTTTATGCCGTTTTCCAAAGCAATAGATAATGGGCAGAAACAGACTTGCAAATTTATCAAAATATATGAAACAACAGCTTAATCAGGGCATATGGGCAGCATCTCCCTTCGTTCCTCATCTTTTCACCATATTCAAATACTATACCTTTACAGTTTCTGAATTTCGGAAAAACCATTTTTGCTTCAGCTATACCAATTTCTGAGGATTATTACTTTCATAAAGATTTGACACTCCAGTCTGTCCCTCTTCACTATTTCACAATTTAAAATATTTTTGATTACATTATTGGGCAGCTGCTTGCAATGGCTGACTTTGTATGCTGATCTTTAAAGAGAAATGTATTTTCTTGGATGCATGTACTGTAAACATTCCTATCTTCAAATTTCCACTCGCTGTACTTTACTCGGCCACGAAGCTTGTCAAAGTTTGCTGGAACAGCATTTGGTACCACAGCAGCGATAGAAGAAGCCATTTCTAAAATCCATTTCCGATAATGAAGTAAGATGAAGTAGTAAATGAATGCAGTCATGATGTAAGATTAACATGGCGAATAAACATGAAAAGCAATTCTGACTTTATGCTACCGCTAAGAGCTTAAACAAATATTGGACAAACTGAACAAATAAAGTTTTAGTAATAAAAGTGCTAGCAGGAATAAAAACGGTATGTAATTTCAACTATACCATGAATCAATACCAAATACCACCATGAAAGCAAACCAAAATATTGCGCCGAGCAACAATGTCCACAAGCAAACCAAACCAATAGAACAGAAAGGTGATTCTAAAAGATTACAATGAAACAAGACCAAGAACACTAAATGGCTACCTACAAAATACAGTAAAATATGAATTCATATTTTAACGTAAGGGATTTTTCTGCAATTTTATGATGTCTCTTTCACAAAGATGAAATTCTTGCTGAAGCTTTTACAGCATTTATGCTTTCGCATAACACATTTATATTCCCTTCATAGCTAAAGAAGAAAATTTGTCTACATATTCAGAGTTCTTAAGACTAAACAAAAATGCACTTCAAATTAACTTCAAACAATTATACTGGTACAGTGAAAGCTGTAAAAATTATAAAAATACCTTTTAAAGTATTTCAAATGTTAGAGAAAGATAAGGGCACCTGTGGAAAAAGAAAGTTGTAAATTAAAAGCTTTAGAAACTTTCAAAAATTTACATTTTTGTGGAAAATCATAGGTTTCTAGAAAAGTATGTTGCAATCAATTTCAAGAAAGAAACCATCACTTATAATTTTTTAACTTATTTAAGTCAAATACATTAAATATTGCAGAAGTTTATTCATCACAGAAAGCAAAAGAAAAATTATCTTCTTCAAACATCCTGTGTTTCTTAACTAAACATTCCATCAAGTATTAATGGAATGTTTAGTTAAGAAACACAGGATGTTTGAAGAGGATCTCACGCTTTTGAACACCTGATCGCAAACCCATCATTCAAGTTTACAAAATGAATCCAATAAGATAGAACTTCATCTTTACAGGAGTTTTAGATATGTAATACTTCGTAGTGAAAGTAACCAAAATTTACACATTTGTTTAGCCTTAATATTTAATTTATCTAAATATGCTTATAAAGTCTAGTTTGCTTAGGGAGCATACACTAAAACTATTGAATGAAACAAAACAAAAGTCAGAAGAAGGGTGTATAAGACTCTTTTATTCGAACACAAAATTAACAGTTACCTAACTTGGGTTTACACAAGCCAAGCACTTGGCTTAACAGAAATATGGAACATCGAACAAATTCAAATATGGTAGATTAGCATAATGGCTCACAGAATAATTCACTGTGCATGAAAGGCTCTGGTTTGCAAAAAACCGGCAAGACAAGCTAAATGACTAGAAGCACTCAATGCCACAGAATCAAATTGCTAATAATCACAGCAGAACGTCACCTGGAATAGGCAGACATGCTCTAACACTGACTTCCTACACTCTTGCTTAAATAGCACTTCTTTCTACCTTTATCTGAATAAATGCTAGGTATCTCATTTACATTCTGGCATGAAAAGCGTGAGTGAAAAGAGAGTGATAGGAAAGTAAACTTGAAATTAACTATTGGTTAAAAACAAATAGATAAACCTCACATGCTAATGTACCAAAGTGTTCAAAATATTTGATTTTCTTTTGTGGAGCAAAAATATTCATCTCATTAAACTGGAATTAATCAAATTAATAAATCACTTGGAAGCAATAAATTATTAACCTTATATAATGTATTCTTACAGCAAACCAGTGATCAATAAATGTCAGCTATTTATTTTTTACCTACTTGCAAAATTCAGAAAATTAGTTCATTTGAAGAAAAAAGTACTTATATTTTTAAATAGTTAAAAACATTAATATTTATTTAAATTGCTCATTACTTGTTCTTTAAACTGCTTGCAGTAGTTTTCAAGATTGCTCTGTTTTTCAGAGTCTTAACATTCATCAAGTGTAAGATACATGCTATAACATCAGCACCATCGAACAGGAGATGAAACATGATTCCAGTAAATGAGAAGAAATACTAAAATATATGTGACAAATATATTTATTGCAGCTGTATTTTATTATTTTAGTGGACTTACACATAGCAATAGTGCCATATTCATCACTTCCTTCTAAACCAATATCAGAAAATGATTCTTAACAGCCATCTTGTCTTTTAAGCCTAAAATATATCACCTTTTGAGTATGTAAAAACAACAAATAATAGGGGTGATGGATTACAGCCTACAAGCTCATGCTTTCATGCAAAGTGCAATAATATTCGAAAAAATAAAATTGCAATTCTGAGAGAACATCATTTTTAGAAGTGCTTATGTTAGAAAAAAGTGCACTTTAGAATTAAAAAAAACAGTATTTTATTTCTTATAGTACTGAAATATAGAGAGTGTTTACACAATTTTAGAACGTTTTCAATAAAGAACTTTTTAAAAGCAAGTGTTTTGGAATAAACATTTCTTACAACAGCTTGTTAGCTGAAATGAAAAATATTGTCTGCTACTTTTAAATTTATTCTTCTTTCAAAACGTCACATGTAAACAAACTGTGGATTGAAGGATATGCTTTTGCACTTTCCCATATGAAATATTTCTATTCTATAATTCAAAAAAGCTTATGAAATGCATAGGAAGAAAATTTCTAACTAAGCAAAATTATTAATAGGAAAGAGAAAAACTTGTAATCAATATTTCTACACGGAAAGAAATCAGTTACAAACAGAGCTTAAATTGCATTGGATCCCGACTCCAGTAGTTCTCAGTTTTTGAAATAAACTGTAATTTTAACGGTGTACACATAATTTTAATCGGAATAATTTTAACCAGAGCTCTAAATAAGAGGTCTTTGGTACTTTCATATAACTGAACCAAAATTTTAGTACAAAATCCTTTCATCTCAAAAATTTTATTTTAATAATACGTTAAGTCTTAGAAATCGATTTTAACTCATAAATGCATGTCTGTCTTTCTCTGTGAAATAAACCTCTTTCTCGGAGGTTGAGACTTTTGAGGAAAGCACGTCCACCAATATGCCAAAGGCTTATTTTCTAGGAAGTGGAAAAAAATTTGAGAGTTCATAAATTTTACCTTCCCGAAATTATTAAAAGTGATCACCATGGTTGTTTTCGTCCAATGCTAGTGATTTCTCATGGAAAAGAACCCCTGCAGACTTTATGGAATGATGTAAATAAATAAGGTATGAAAATTGTCACTTGTACAGAAGTTTACATTTTTCTCAGCTTATAGATCAACCCTTTTGGGTCTGGGGGGAAATTTTTTCCTCTGTCATATTCTACCACTTGGAAACTAGAATATATCAATGAGATAATGTTGGGTCCTTCTCTCTTTATTTTTATATCTAAACATCTCCATTAAAATTTCCTTCCATACTCTCATACTGTTGTTAGTGTTTTCTTTATTGTTGTTAGTGATAATTTAACCATTTTCTTTCTTTATTTATTTGCTTTATCATTGGCGTGCTGTATAAAGAACAATTTTTGTTGATATCATTGACTGAAATAGTACATTATACTATATATCCAGGGCTTAAATTCAGCTGGGCAAAATAACTGGACTATTCCTTGTTTTTGAGTGAAAGTGTAATTTCACTTGCAGCTCCAAATAAGACTAGGTCTGGTATTTAATTTTATTCTATTTATTATAAATTTAATAATTTATTAAATTTTCATTATATATATTAAATTTTAATTATTAAATTAGTTTATCATTTATTTTATTTCTTTGTTTTTATTACCTAATGGCCTTCCTTAGGGCTCCAGCACTTCCAATTTCAGAAATTAAGCCTTGATTGTAAAGACTTTAAATACATCTGCAGCAATAATAAATAAAATAATAAACTACGATTACAATTTAAATATGTAAAAAACATAATGTTTACAAGCTTTCACCAAGGCATGTGATTCAATGCAGAACAATTTGTAGAACCCTGAATGAAAACTATTTAGCAGAAGATAAATAAAAATGCATTGTGGCCCTTGATAAAACATGGGTCTACCTAAATGACTGCAACAACGACAACAAAAAAAAAAAAAAAAAAAAAAAAAAAAAAAACTGATGTGTACACCACATGACTTCCTTGTACGGAATATTAAATTATACACATTTTTTCTTGCATTTCCTTTAAACTTATTGGATTAAATTAAATCTATTTCACTGACAGCTCATAAACTACAATAGAATAAATGCATTCTTTAAAATTCACTCTATTCTTTACCATAGCGACACTATGGTGCTAGGTTCACTTAACAGTATTATATTTCGTTCATATTATAACTCAGAATGCACAAAATTTATATCATTTAATGAATTATCTAATCGTTGCCACATGTTCTATTCAAATACTATAATAAAGCTAGAATGATGTATAAAAGAAATTAAGCGAACAAAACAAAAAAAAAAACAGTTTTTCACAGACGATTGAGTATTTCACATTCAATTAATTCAGTTCTCACTTTGCGACAAGGCAAAAATACATAAAAACTCAAAATACCTGTATTAAAAATTACGCAGTAAATATTAAACACTTATTTCATCGAAAAAATTCCAGAAAGGATTAAGCATGATTTAATTTGCAATAATAAATGAAGCCGTTATCTTTGTTGTTGCGAAGCTACGTTTCTCTAGATTGGCAAGCAATCCACTACTCTGCTGTTTCAAATGTAAACAAGCAATGGCTGCCATCAAAAAAATTATTAGGCTTAGCGGCACTTAAAAATCTTTAAAATTGTTGATAACATCTACAGAGTTTCAGAACAAATCCGCCAAACACTGGAGTGCATTTTATAGTCAAACAAATGTAAAAAATGTCATATAGCACAAGTTACATAATTTTTTATTTAGGAGACATCACTAACAAGAAGAGGAGGCAGGAATGTTCTTATTAAATATTCTGTGGTAAGCCATGCTATCTTTTAAAATGATAGATCTTTTATTCACAAATTCCGGCAGTATTTTAAGGTCATGGCCCGATGGATGATAGCTAGTCTTAGCATCAGCTTGTCATTGATGTTTAATTTCATAATTTGCTAATTATGCATTTCTTGCTTTACTCATATGTTCATAAGGCACGAATTTGCTTATGTTTGACCAAAGAATGCTTTACTGACAAAGAATGCTTTACAGTTAGATTGGAACTATATAACTGAACTGGAACATCTGAATAATCAAACTCAGTAGAACTGAACATAAATTTCAACAGCAGCATTTTTGTGATTCCAATAAATATAAAACCAGGAAACTTAGAATTCATAATTTTGATATATCTGTTAGTTATTATATAACATAAATGTGAGACAAAGTTTGCACAGTGAAATATCTCCTTTTCACTGAGCATTAACATCTATATTTATTTTAGAAATCACATTAAGCCAGCTAGTAATGAGGATAATTTTTAACAGAAATAAATGAAGACATGCAATATCGATAATATTGCTATTTCATAGACAAACAATACATGCCTAGCATATATTACATTATATGTCCTAGATTTTTGTGATCATTACTTACTAGATTATAATGTATGATTCTAAAAAATAAAATACTATTTAAATACAAAAACCAGTTCTATTTTATACTCACTGTTGGCAAATATTTACTTATGAAAACTCTAGGCATATTTGATTGATTAAAATGGTCAGATAATATTCTGTGCAGCAGCTTTTCGTCTTGAAAATTATCACAAATGAAAGCTCGCAGAATTTTCTCTGACAAACAAAATTCTACAGCAGATCTAATACTTCTAAATATTGACCTAAAAATTATAAAGAACATAGTAATAAAATATAAATAAACCCACAAAATGAAAAATTCTACAGTGACTGAATTTTGCTGACAATGGAGTTTAATATTTTGCTGAAAACAGGAATTAAAATACAATCTAAATCTACTTAACAGTAATAATTTCAGCAGTACCCATCCCCAAAAGATGCAAACTCTTATAACCATTAATTCTACATAATCATATGATATACACTATTAAAATGCATTAAAAAATAATATAAATTTTTCTTCACATGCATTGTTAATACTTCCTATTGCTGGTTCCGGCATGCAAAATAGCTTAACACACATGATACATTTAATTAATATCTCAATACAGGACTGAACTCTGGAATTATACCTCAATACAGAACAATTAATACCTCAATAATAAATTAATATCTCAATCGATTAATATCAAACAATTAAAATCTTGATTATTGTTGATTAATATCAATCAAATGATTAATATCTCAATACAGATTTGAACTCTGAATTTTGAGCCCCTGCCCACACAGAAGTGAATTGCAACTCCAGTTTTATCTGAATCTTCACCATGGACCACCACTGGCTAAAAACATAAAAATCTTTGAACTTTGGCTTGACTACCGACTAACAAGTCAGCAGCATTGAGCTTCCATATGGATTTCTCCATTTGTAACATACAAATGAACTAGTTCCACTTAAAAAATCCTTCATGAAAGCATCTATCTTTTTAGGCAGATAGCTTCTACATGCTTTACCTTGATCAGCCAACTAAACTAAACTGAATCTTCATTGAAACTTAAATTACTGACACCTTGCTGACAATTATATCTAAAGAAACTGTATTGTTACATATGCGTCAATTCATGCGGATATGAAAGAAAGTTTGATTCCTTATTACAGTTCTAAATGTTATGTTGAAAATGACTTAATAAATTCAATACTTTGCATTAACTAGCAAAATTTTCTCTACTCATGATGACGGAGAGAGATTTATAAGGATTTAAAAATTAAAATAATCCTCTGACCAATAAAGGTTGAGTATTTTCTTTTGTCGTCCAAATGGATTACAAAAAGGCATGGATTCGAATCCTAAAGTACGCATGGATGTTTGTGGTGTCTTTGCGGTATGAGAGCACTCTAAATATATGGTAAGCTGAAAGTCTTCTTGTGTGGATCGGTTGTAGGAGAAAGGAGTGGGGGACTCTCGGACCCACCCCCTGGGGTGCTCTACCTCAAAACTGCGGTGGAAATGGGCAAAATCATACTGTCAATATAGGGTGTCCTGTCAATGGTATGTGCCAAGTGTGCTACCGTTGCACCATGAAGGCATGCAGAAAGGAGGGAGATATATATACTCCATTTTTTTAAAAAATGACTAAGAAGTAGAGGACCCAATTGCCTAATCCTGGTGTTGAAGAGTTATCATCCATCACCTTTTAGTCCGGGTGCCACTGTAGAGTCATAATTTATTTTGAGCAGGAGATATGAAAAATGAGCAATGCCCTCACCAGGATTCAAACCTGGACCTCTCGTATACGTGCAGAGTGTGCTATCGTTATACCACAAAAGCATAGACAGGAGGGAGAAAACACCTTATAACGCAACACTAAAAAAATAACCTGAGTTCTAAACATATTGATATAATGCAGATCTAACAACAAGCAAAAATAAAGAGATTTTATAAGCTGTAAATTAGGCTTTCTCAATCTATTATATACCAACATGAACTTTGCAGCTGAGCATCCAGCTATCCATAAAAGGACTGAGTGATGGAGAGCATATATCAGAAATACCAATTTAATAATAAATTAAAAATCTGTACTAAGACAAAGGAGCTGCATATTTCATATACTGAATGTCAGTTCTCTATTTCAAAAGTTAACAGTGTTATAAAAAATCTGAAGAACAAATCACCAGGGCCACTCTCTCTCTTTCCAATGAAATTATACAGCACTTTCATGTAATGGATAACACCTTTTTGCAAAGACCTTTCAAACTTTATCATTGGGAATCTTTCCCACACTATTGTGTGGGAAAGATTAAAAAGAGCTATTTTTTATTAAAAAGAGCTCAGGTTGTTTTGATCCCTAAAATTTATGATGCAAGGATTCTGTATCTTGACAGCATTTGATGCAGCAGCCTATTACCGACTTTGAGAAAATATCTCAAAGCTCTCTTTGTTAATAGAATAAATTAATATCTGAGACAGAAACATTTTTATAGTAATTATCAATTTGGTTTACTCTTCGGAAGTCTATCGAAGGTACTCTTATTCACCTTAGTAATATCTTGCAGTATAGAAAGCAAATGAAGTTCTTATATTTCGAGATTTCAAAGGTGCTTTATGCTTGGTGGTCACCTACCTTAAAAATTCTAAAAAATGCTGGTATACTACATAACATCTATAACCTGCTTAAACAAGAAGACCACTGAGCTTTTGCATGGCTTGGAAAATAAGGTGTATTCCCTGAAAAAAGGTTGCCCTTGAGGTCCTGTGTCTGGTCTTATTCCTTCAAACATAATAATAAATGATCTTTTATATCACCTCTATGGTTGTTTGAAAGTTGTACTTGCAGATGACTTACTTTTAATTTTCCAAAGAAAGCTTTTGACAAGTATTCCTTTTTAAGCTCAAGCGGTGTTAGATTTTATCTTCAATTGGGCAATCTCTCATAACTTGCTTTCAGACCTTCATAAAGTATGTTTCCAGAATGCCAGTTGTCTGATGAATAAAATATTGCCCCTTTGATCCTCGATGTTTCAACCTTGGAATTTGCTTAAGGTTCTAAGTATCTTGGTGTCATACTCGGTGGAATTTTGACATAGCACATTAGTAAATGTGAAAAAATTATAAATAGTCTTCACCAAACTGCCAAAAATATTTTCAGAGTACACTGAAGTTAAGAAACTAATGTATAAACAGAGTACTGTGCTTTCCTTTCGTTATGGCTCTTGTGTTTGAGGACATGTTCTTGCATAGAAGATTAACAAAAGAAATCTCAAAGACTCAACTCTTCATATTACTATATAGAACAATCAGTTATGAGGCTATTTTTGTTCTTGCAGGATATCCACCTATTAATTCTGAAACTGAATATAAGAATAATATTTTTGAGGTCGTGTCAACTGATACTTTGGAAGATTGCATAAATGGAAATATACCCTTCTCTGAGATTATGAAAAGACTGTTGAAAAGCGCTCTCATATGATTCGCTTGTTTGTGGTTCTGTGTTTTTATTTGTTTTATTACTGCAAGTAAGGTTTAATTTTTTTATTAACATATTTATGGTGTGTATGGTGTATTGAGAATACGACAAAGAATACTAGGGCTATCTGCCTAAGGGGAGGGATGCCTTCATGGAGGACTTTCTAAGGGAAACTGGCTCGTATACATGTTACACATGGGGAAAACCAAGAAAACGCCCATGCAGCCAGCCCGTTCACGAATTTCAAACCTCGGACCGAACAACCAGTGTTCAGCGATTTTACCACTCGGCCGCTGGTGGGCCCTAACATATTTATGTAAACCCTGTGTTGTGTAATTGTGGTACATAGGGAGACTGTATGTGTTTAAATTTTAAAAAATATATAAAGAAAGAAAGGAATGGAAACACTAGAATTCGAAGAATCGCCAAATGTCGGCTGGCGAACTAAATTTATTTACGGTACTGATATGGGAAGTTCTCCCACCTTACGAGTCATGTAGTCTGGCAATGCAAATACGCAGTAACAAAGACAAAATACTACCCTCTTCATTTCTACCTTTTTTTTCTTCAGTTAAACTCGCATGCATAAACTCAGTCTCTAAAGTATTATAGTCTCTAAAAGCTATGGAAGTATTTATAGTCTCTAAAGCTATGGACACCGTACTTATGAGAAAGGACATCTAAAATTACTTCGAGTCCACCAATTTAAAATGATTAGTCTAGAACATACAACCAATTAAAATATCGCTCTCAATCTTCTGCAGCCTAACAATGGTCACCCAAGTTTATGTCAAGATTTGCTGTCATTTAACTGTTCATTCAGAGAATTATAAATGGACATTCAAAACTATTAATATATGGGCATGCTTAATGCAGAAATCTGCCCTAGTATGCATACATTATGATAATAAATACTAGAATCATGCCCTAGTATTTTTAACTTCATACACTTATTTCCTGTCTTAAGAATTCATTTGCATAAATAAAAATCACTATGACTATTGAAGAAAAATATTTACCAATAGGTCCTTTTGGTGGCTTTATAAACTCATTGCAAGAGGAAATACTTGTTAAAGCATTCTGCATTTCAGATCCATAGTCACTTTCTTTACTCATGGAAAACTTAAATTGCCTCAGTGCCTTTTCAATACTTAATTTTTTATTGAGTGCGTCTTCTTTCTCCTTACTAAAACACAGTAATTTTAGATCAATTATAAAAATTGAAATTAGTTTACTTAACTCTGCTGAAAAGAGAATGCAAAAAAAAACATACATTAATAGTAGCAAAATGATTAACATTGAAAAAAACCTATTTTATGAAGTAAAAGATTTTTTTAGATATATGGACTGAAAGTATGGAATCTAAAGCAGAATAATTTCTGGAATGTAATCAAACAGCACATGTTGACCTACTGGACTAACAAAGAGAACAATTGACATTTAAACAACTAGCAGTCATCAACAGCCAAAATATTAATTTTCATCATGATAATGCTAGACTTCTTGACGATTTAAGTACTTGGCAAAGTTTACTAGAACTTTGGTTGGGAAGTATTTAAATGTTTGATAATGATTTGCACTCGCACTACTATTCCAGTACAATAAACAGTTGAACAGTTTGTTTAAGATGTTGTAATACATTCAGATAAGAGATAAGATGGTTAATAACCATAAGATGACCATAAGATAACCATAAGACGGTTCTTCTGACCTCAAAGCGAAAGCAGTAGTGAATCATAACACGAAATGCATGCAGAAGAAAATGAACAAGTGTATACGAGTTCGCAATAAAGGGTTATACTCATGGTAAAAAAAGAATTGCTTTTTTTGGGGGAAAAGAGGTTTAATCAGTAGCACAAATTCACAGGTGAAAAGTTGTCGTGGTGAGCAAGCTCTTGCATGAAGTTTTATATTTAACTAGATTAAGCCCTTTAACATGAGAAATGAAAGTGTAATAAAAGAAGTGAACAATGGCAGACTAGTAACGAGGTGTACAATGCCAGCCGCAGTATCGCAAACGTCCAATTTACTAATGACATATCAAAGCATTACTTTTGATGTGAATAGCGTGAAATGAGTATTTGCAGGAAAACTCTACTCACGACAGCCCACGAAGATTTGAGAGGGTATAATAGTTGTGCTCAGGCAATATCCACCAAGCTCACTGACTTGTCAACAACGTGTGATAATGCGTGAAGAATTGTTGCATCGAATACATTTTTGACAAACTGATGGAGAATTTGTATGTTCTATGACTCTGTTTTGTAATTCAAAAACTTCATATTTGGCAAGTTTTTATTATAGGAGCTAATAAGTGGTATCAGATCTTTGATTTTACCTTTTATCAAAATTTTTTTAGCATTGCATTCAAATAATTGACTGGATTACCAATGCTGCTGTAGTTCACGCAATCAACTGCGTTTCATGCAAATTTTCAGTTGTGTAGACTAGAGCAGTGTCACATTTTCCTTTATTGGCAGCTTTAGGGAATATTTTTATTTTATTGTGGAATCTTTTCTCCCATGTTGTCATTAGTCCTTCAATCATATTGGGTGGCATTCCAGCTGATAGATCGAGCAACAGACAGCTCTAAGTACTTAGGGTTCGTAAAGTCCTTAAAAACACTTAAAAGTCCTTAGTATTTTTGAAAACGCTTTAGGGTGCTTAAAATTTCTTAATACAGTCAAAAGTCTTTAATCCGGACTCGTAGGAACTTCGGCAATTCCGGATTATCGGTTTTACCGGATTATAGATCATCAATTTAAATCTGGTAAGATGGCATGCAGAAATTATAAAATTAAAAATATGAAACTGTAATTTATGAAATAAAGAGCAATTATGATCTAAAGGGTATCAAAATTTACAAAAAAAAAAAGCTTAATATTTATTTGTTTACTTTATTAAACATTTCTTTCAACGCGCACATGCGTAAAGCATACATTACACATAGTCGAAATTAGAAAATTGCAACCAGAAAACTATTTGATGTGTATTCGTGATATTTATAATGACGAGGAATTTGATTTAAATCATATCAAAGACGAAGTACATGGAGATGAAATAGGTGAAACTACATTTAGTAAGGAATTATAAGCCGAATAAAATAAAAACATCTGCCCTGAAGATGAGAATAGTGCTGACAGATCAACTTCCAGTTCATTGCACCCTGTGATGTTTCCCTCCCCCACAGAGCAGCGTGAAATTGATGAACAGATTTCGGAATGGTTAGAGAAACAAATCACCTTTCCGTCACTTTCTTCATGCCTTTATCCATTTTTTGCAGCAATTCCACTTTTTGTTTAATGGACATCGAAACATGCTTTGGCTTTGTAGATCCTTTGGCAGCTCCAGAATTGGAAACTCTTTTTGACATAATCGAAAGTTTCAAGCTTACTTTTTATAAAATTGCTTTAACAGTCTGCAAAAAGTAATAAGCCAGGTCCAATTCGAAGATTAAGGAACAATGCAATCTGAAACATTAACTGAAATAGATAATTAGATAACTTTAGCTTAGCTAATACCGTCTGTTATACATTAAATGCCGCAGAAAGTTTGTAGCTTTGAGGTCCGAATTATAGATCATTCCAGATTATGGACATCCGGATTAAAGACTTTTGACTGTATCAGCCAAAACTGGCAAAAGATCCTTAATTTTATTCATCTAACCTTCCTCTGCTTTTTTTTTTTTTTTTTTGTCATTTTGAATGTGAATTAACATTTTGGAGGAGTATTTTTAGCCATGCATTGATAAGTATGAATTTGATGGATTAGCGCTCGAATTCTTTCTTACTTCTTTATATAAATAGTGGATACTCCAGGGTTAGAAGCATGAGGCCCTGCTTCTATTGAAATATAAACATTTCAAAGTATTTCTTTTCTCTCTCTGTGTGTGTGTGAATGAAGAATTCATTTTCTTGTTGCTGATTCTAACTGACCATTAGGATCAGCAACAGATCCATGAATATTATAAAGAATTCATAAAATACTGCATCAAAAACAGCTTTTCCTTTTTTGAGATCTTTTATTATGTGGCACTAAATTTGTCAACTTATCAATGTTTTGATAATTTCAAAATTAGTTTGTGTACAAAATTTTTTATTCACATGTCATAACATGTAATGGATGCATTTTATAAAAGTAAAAATAATTATAATGAATTAAAATTATATTTAAGAAATAACATTAAAATAAAACATTTTTATTTTCACCTTCCATATTTTAAAGGTGACATAACTTTTCATTTTGGTGACTTAGAAATATTTTGATTCTGAAAAATAAAAGATAAACAAGATTATAAATGTTATAAAGTACAGTTTCAAAAACACTTCTTAGAAAAAACAAAAACGCTACTATAATTATTTTAAAATAAATTCTATTTGTATTCTTTTTATATTTTTTCATGTTAAAAGTTTTTCCTGTGTAATTGTTTCAGAATATTTAAATGTGTATCAGTTTTCTATTGAAAATTTATGTTACCCTACTCTTTTCTGAAATTTTTTTTCCCAAAATTCTTCTGGCTTTTTGCTTTTACAGAGCCAGTAGAAACAATTTTGCTTTTGGATTTTACACCTTGCACTTCTGAAGTTCTAAAGGCAAGTTTTAAAGAGTATTATTTTGAAGGCTACAGTTGCCAGAAAAATCTGACAAAATGAAAAGTGTCTTCATAGTATTAACATGTAATGGATGCATTTTATAAGAAATTTGTGATAAATTACATATTTTGGAGAATTTATGGTAAAAGATAAATTATTTTAACTTTCTTCTTTTAATCCCAGACGTCTTTCCTTTAATATGTTTATCTTCCCTTTATTTTCCTATCTTTCTATTAGACACAAGCATCAAACCAATAAATGAAAACAAAGAAAGTGAAAACCCAGAGTTAATTAACATATTCATCACATATGTCTCAATGCACCATACATACCTCAGTGCCTGCTCTAAATTTTGTTGCTCGGTGCTTCATTAAATTCTAAAAATTCTGCCATGCTGGCTTCAGTGCTGGTCTTGACCTTATATGATTTCATATTTATTTTCAATACTCATATTATAAAATAAATAAAATTAGTAGTTTCTTCTATACAATCCAAGTACAAGCATTTCTTTAAAGCGATGAAAATTATTTAAATCTGAAAATTCTAAAGTGAAGAGGAAATTCATTGAAAAAGAAATTAGTTTTATACAGAGAGAGAAAATTATTCCTCAAAGGTACATTGTTGAAATGTTAACAAATTAGGAGACGAAACAATAACTGGAGTGGGAACATTGATTTAGATAAGATGATAACGAGAATGAAATTGATGTAAATTAGCTAAAACATCTGGAATATTTTCAAATTAAAAAGACACATAAACATTTTGTTATTTGTTTGTTTGTTTATTGTTTATTATTTGTTTATTATTTGTTTGTTATTTGTTAGTTATTTGTTTGTTTGTGTTTTGTAGATTTTAATGGAAAGTTATACTAACGTCATTTTAAAAATATCATAACTTATAACTACAGTAACGTGTCCTTGTGCTTTTTAATGGATATTTTTTAAACACAAAAAATTACATGATGAAATGAGGCACAAAAGAAAGAATCAATATAATGCTAACTGTTTGTACAATTTAAATAAAAAGCCACAATTCTTCTTTAAAATATGTGGGACTATTATGAGTGTAAAATATAAATGTTTCAAGAAATTTTATAATTTAGTACTAATCACTTGAAAAAAAAACTTGTAAAGTTATTTTAATTATTGAATATGTTTTATAATTAATGGTTATAGATTATGTTTAGTAATAATGCATCCTACTTACAGATTTATTTTATTTTTACACATTACAATAGTAAAGTTCGGATGTAGGTTTACTTCATTCAGTTTCTATTTGCTTGATAGATCCTAAATTTTTTCATTGATGGCCCTTAGAAGTCCTTAAAATTACTTAATTTACATATGCATATGTGCATACGAAGTCTGGACTGTCAGTTTAAAAACAAAAATTCCATGTACCTACTATGAATATAATAGAAATAAATCAAAATATACATACATCAGAGTGCCACAAATTTTTTCCAGATCCTTTTCTTCATCCAAGTAGAAGTTCCATATTTTAGTTTTCTCTTTCAATTCTGAATTTATACCAGACAATCGTGCTTCTAACATTTGAATTTTTTTATCACGTTCTCTCTGCTCTGCATCAGCATCATCTTTATTTCTGAAATATTTAAAAACAAAAGAAACTGGCCTAAGAAGCAAATAAAAATTAAAAACAGTGCACTAATTGTTTTGCTAGAATATTAGAATTAGAATACTCTTTTTTTATTGCAATACAGAATATGTTAAATACAAACAGAATTACAGTCAGGGCTCGAAACATCATGATTCCATAAGGCAGGAAATTCATGAGAATTAAATGCTGCCTCCATGTTAAACCTCAGTATTAGCATCAAACTTAATGTTGACAGCTCTTCGCTGATGACATTTACAAGATTTCGACAAGTTTTAAGCGCAAACACATAACAGTCAAAATACACTGTGAAAATAATTAAAATATACACTGAAAAGCCTAACCATAATGACCATCCCCAACTTTTTCAATGAACTCATGTGGATGACAAAGAGGGCAAGTGATAAGTAGGAATGATATTTAATTGCTGTTGGAAAAGGAAAGGAAACATTCTAGCACTTACTATTATGAGTAATGGGAAAGGTTGTTGATCTATGTGAATTTGATAAAGGGCAGAATGTAATGGCCAGAAGACTTGGAACCAGTATCTTTGAAGCTGCATGACTGGTAAGTTGTTCATGATCTGCCATTGTTAGTATTTATGCAACATGGATAAATGATGGCGAAATCAGGAGTAGAGACTGTAATGTATTTTGCAGTAATTTACAAAACAGACAATCTTCTTAGTAGAACATAAATTTTATTTCTAGTTCACAGTGATAGACAAATTTTATACAATTCTTAAGTGGCAAAATTTTCATACTACTCCTAGCTGGTTAAATCTTCAGAATTCTAATCTTTTAAAACAATAGCTCATGTTGCTGAGTAACGTTTTATACAAATATGGCGTTGCCACTTCAACAATAATTATATTTATTTATTAAATAACAAGATATTACAACCTCTCCCCCTCCAGATAAACTTTAATTTATATTTTATAAATTAAAGTTTATGGGGTTTTTTTTTTTTTTTTTTTTTTTTTTTTTTCAAAACAACAATATCAGCACAATACAGAATTGAAATACAAGATATAACATAATAACATACACTGAGGAAGAGAGGAAGGAACAAAATATTTTTTTTTATCTATATAGAGAAACAAATTATTTAATCAGGCCAGGGAGTACAACTTAATGCGTCTACATTTTCATGGTTTTTACCACTTTGATGAACGATCGTGTAATTGTAGGGTTGTAGTACTAGTGCCCATCTCGTAAGTCGTGGATTTAGACTCACATTATTTTTGAGCCAAACTAAGGGATTATGATCGGTCATGATGAGGAATTTAGTATGCCCGTCTAAATAACATTGAAGTTTCTTTACAGCAAATATTATGGCGGCGCATTCCTTTTCTGTGGTAGAGTACTTTTTTTCAGTTTCTGTAAACTTTTTACTGAGGTATAATACTGGATGTTCATTATCTCGTTCATCTTTTTGAGCTAAAATGACACCCATACCAGAGTCTGAAACATCAATTTGCAAAATAAACTCCTTATCGAAATCAGGCGAGTGTGACAAAGGCTTTTGTGGCAGTTTTGCTTCTTCAACAACTCGTTCTTGTCTGTTTAGTTTCTTTAAAAACTTCTCTTTGACTTGCATCTCAACTCCAGAACTTGGCAATTCATCTGGAACTTTTAACTGAGAATCGTTTAATTTTGTCAGTTCTTTCTTGCCAGGTAGTTTTTGCTCTTTGCGAGATGAATCTTTGTTCTTATCTGCTACTTGCTCTCTCATTGAATTTGGCAACTTTGAGTATCCTTCATCATGTTTGTGCCTCTTTGCTAAGTTTTCTGATGTGTGCATAGATCCTGAACGTATTTTTAATTTCTTAACTTTAGAAGCACCTTCATGAGTTCTTTTATCAGAAACTATTTTATCTGCTGTTAACAAACTGTCAAACACATCTCTTTCTTTTGGAGAAGAAGGAACTGGGGAACTTGTAGGGCAATAATCACACACACTATCTACAGAAGATGAATCAGCAGGTAAATAAGGTGAGTCAACTTCCATATACATAACTTTAGTTTTCTCATGAAGAGATGAATGCTTAGACTTTTTGTCAGACTTCTGTGAAGCATTGACAGAAGCTTGACTTTTAGGAGGGTGAGTATTGACCAAATTACCCCGAGTTGTGGCAATATTATTTGTTTGGTTCTGCATCAAAGTTGTGTAGTTCTGCATTTGATCCCTATATTTTTCAGGAATAACAATTACTTCCCTTTCATTTCTATTTTTATCTAATTTCTTTTTCATCAACAGCCTGTTCTTCTTTACTTTGAAATCATTTCCGAAATTTTCACTTTTAGCTTCGCTAAGCAATGAGGCTAGATCTCTGCTTTGATGCTGAGATTCAATTAATTCCTTTGAATTAGCATTAATTATTTTCTTAATTTCCTTGTCTTCCTCATCAGCTTGCAGTAAAATATCTTCGTCAGACTCAATAACAGACAGTTCTTTTTTCCCCATTTCGGTGTCTCTACTTCGATCTCCTTCTCGAAATCGTTTTACTTGAGATCGTGTCAAAACCGCATTTATCCTTTCTAAATTTAAGAACTGTTTATCTTTGAACGACTGAACAGTTTTGTTACCCAATACATATCTGCCAGGATCATTTGTAACAACAGCTGCCTTTGTTTTTATATGACCAAGTTCACAATTAATTTCAACTTCAGCTAATGGTAGACACACTAAATGGTCATTTAAGAGATATTGTACCCAGACATGTTTTCCAATCATTTTTGCTTTATCTACGTATTTTCGAGAAACACGAGGCGTATTCGGAAACTAAGTACCGTTTTGTAAAAAAAAAAAATAGTAAAACAATTTTTTCAAATCCAATTTTATTTTTACATGAAAATACATGTCTTAAACTATTTTTCAACATAGTTTCCGCCAATGATCAAACACTTGTCATAGCGGGTGACCAGTTTTTGTATACCATCGTCAAAGAAACTTCCTGCCAGTTTTGATAACCATGACTCCACAGCATTTTTCGTGTCATCGTCAGATCCAAAGTGCTTGCCACCAAGCTCGCGCTTCATGTGCAGGAACAAGTGATAGTTGGACAGCGCCAAGTCCGGGCTGTACGGTGGGTGATCGAACTGCTCCCAATGAAACTGTCAAATTAAGGATTGAGTGACACCAGCAGTTGCCACTTCAACAATAATTACATTTATTTATTAAATAACAAGATATTACAAGGCCAAGGTGTCAGACGCTCATGCATTTGAAAGAAAAAGGACGTCAGATATTGTCCCACTTGGTGTGGCAAAATCAGAACCAGACAGTGACTCAGCTGACAGCCCAATAAAACGCAGGTCCAAGTGCAAGTGTTTTGGAACACACAGTTCAGTGGATACTGTTGGGTATGGGACTGTGTAGCAGGCATCCCGCAGTGTGCCTTTGTTGACCAAGTGCCATTCTCAACTATGCCTACAGTGGGCACTGGGAACATCAAGACTAGACCATGGATAAGTTGCCAAGTAGGATGAATCATGACTTCTCATTCATCACTTTGATGGTCATGCCACGGTACACCATCTTCTAGGCGAACACTTGCCATGTACAGCAGGTCATACACAGACTGGTGGTGGTGGTCTTATGCTTTGGTGGACGTTCTCATGGGCTGCTATAGGATTCATAGTTGTGGTATCACAGACCATGAAAGCTGCAGATTATCTGAACATAACTGCAGATCAGTTGCACCCTTACATTGCATTTGTCTTTCCAAGTGGAAATATAATCTTCCAACAGGATAATGCCCCATGTCACAAGTCTTGAATAGTGTTGGAGTGGTTTAAGGAGCATAAGGATGACTTCCAATTAATGTTCTGGACACCTAGCTTGCTCAATCTTAATATAGCACATTTGTTATGTCATGGAGCGGCAGCTCTAGCTCAAACACCACCATGTTTGAATTCCTCGCGTTCGTGTGACCACTGACTAAACATCTGGTACAACTTGTTTTCAGTCATCTACCAAGAACTTGTGACACCCATGCCGGAGTACAATTTTGCATTGCAGCCAAAGTCGCAAAATGCTACGCTCATATGTTGGCTTCGAGTGGTATATGAAAGTTTTTCTTATACCTTTATACTGTGTATTAAGCTAATAAAGTTCAAAATGGAATACAGTCAAAGTCGTTAATTCGGACACCCATAATCCGGAATGATCTATAATCCGGACCTCAAAGCTACAAACTTTCTGTGCATGCGTCGCATTGACGCATGCACGTAAGACCTTTGCGGCTGCGAATATGCTTGTGCGCGTGTGCAAAATATGTTTACGAGTGTACAATGTACAATGGACAGTATAAGCTAAGCTAAAATTATCTATTTCAGTTAATGTTGCAGATTGCGTTGTTCCTTAATCTTCAAATTGGATCCGGCTTATTATTTTTTGCAGACTATTAGAGCAATTTTATAAAAGTAAGCTTGAACTTTCGATTATGTGAAATAGAATTTCTCTAATATATATTTATTAATATGTAAAGGATCTACAAAGCGAAAGTATGTTTCGAAGTTCATTAAACAAAAAGTGGAATTGCTGCAAAAAAATGGATAAAGGCATATCCTTTATTTATCTAAACTTTAACGTTTATCAATTTACTTGTTGTTTATCTTTAATGCCAGGGTGTGCAATGAATTGGAAGTTGATCTGTCAGCACTATCCTTATCTTCAGGGCAGATGTTTTTATTTTATTTGGCTTATAATTCCTTATTAAATGTAGTATTTCATCTCGATGTACTCCGTCTTTCATATGATTTAAATCAAATTCCTCGTTATTATAATTCGCTTCCGATAGCGAAGAAAGTGACAGAGGTTATTGAAAACGGAAAAATTTCGATTCATAAATTAGTCAGTAGACACAGCAATTACAGGACTTGAACAATGGAACTTTATAACTGAACAAGAAATTATGTCTGTTTATAGAATTAAAGAGAATGTATTATCACATAAAAAACGAAGCAACTTAAACAACTTACATTAAAAGAAATGTTTAATAAAGTAAACAAATAATATTAAGCTGCTTTTTTTTTTTTTTTTTTTTTTTTTTTTTTTTTATTTTGATACCCTTTAGATCATAATTGTTCTTTATTTAAAAAATTACGTTTCATATTTTTAATTTTATAATTTCTGCATGCCAGCTTACCAGATTTAAACTGATGATCTATAATCTGAAAAATCGATAATCCGGAATCGCCGAAGCCCCGACGAGTCCGCATTAACGACTTTTGACTGTATATATAAAGGAGAGAATTTAAGCATCATTTTCTTATTTCTTAAATAGTAACTTAGAAAATTCATAATATATAATCACAAGGATCACATAAAAATTAAGTGCGTAACTGAAAGGTAGTGTAATTTTTAAAAAAAAAGTCATAAAGTATTTGAAGGAATAGTAAAATATGTTTGCTCTTCCATTTTAAAATCTGCATATGAAATATTAAGAAAAGTAACTAAAGATAAAGTGCTTCTGCAAGCAGAACACTCAAAGCTTTTCTACATGGCACAGTGTTATAACAAATTAAAGTATGCTTAAACAATTAGTTTATCAAAAATTGAAAATTACTTATTTATTTAGTTGCTCATGTTTGGAGTAAAAAATGCTTCGTACAGCCTGACAAACTATTATCTTTTTCCCCTTCATTCTAAATTTCATTACTTCATTCTAATGTGCAACACGATGTTGGTTTTCTACTTTTCTATTAAGAGACTACAATAAAAAAGAGAATCTACTAAACAACAAAATCTAAATCAGAAGGAAAATTCTGCCCACCAATGTGTAAGCATAAGATCACTGTATACTGACAGTTTGACCCAGTCTTAAACCTAGAGAATGGGTTGACTACATGGAAATTTTCGAGGTTTTCCCCATGTGTAATGTGAATACGAACTAGGTTTTCTTAAAACATCATCCATGAAGACATCCCTGCCCTTAAGCAAATAGCTCTCGTGTGCTCTGGCATAATCAAAATAACATAACCGATAAAAATTTATGCGAAGTTCAGGTCATAAATATTGAACAAGAATATTTAAAATGATTTCAAAGAAGGTCTGTGCTCATTGTCTGCTTGTTTTTTGTCTAATTATTCCAGAAAAAGCCTGACAGTTCTTAACCCTCCGAGCGTTACGGGTTCAGCCTTAAAATTTCAAAGTTCCTCAAAATGTCATACACCCAAATCGAAATCAGTTACATTAAAAACTAGCAGAAATTTTCATGTATAATTAATATAGAAGGCAGCCTTCTTTACGGAATTTACTGGCCGTAACGCAGAGAGGGTTAAATAGCCTGGAATGTAAAAAAATAAATAAATAAAATAAAGCAAGTTCATGTTGGAACATTTATATCAAGGCAGCCATCATATGAGGAGGAAAATCAGCAATGGATGGATATATCTTTTAGAGGCATTGGTGAGGTGGTGGTGTATGACACGATAATCAAAACGATATATGCTGAAGAAACCATTATCTCAATCAAAAATGCACACACTTGACAAAATGAAGTAGTTACAATGCTTATACTATCATATATCACTGAGGATGTATGTAATGTCAACAAGATAAAGATATTTTAACAATCTTAACCACACACAACTTTGGCATTTAATGGTGAAAATGTGCAGCAGGCTAAACATTTAAACAATGGAAAATTATTACAACAGACATTTCAGAAGACAATGTTTTAGAATGCAGATCTCTCAAGAAATATATTGAAACATCTACTTCAGTCCCAAAAGACATTAAACTGCAAAATTACCTATCCCAGACGAAGAACTTGCAGATTTCATCTCAACTAACAGATGAAGGCTTGCGAATCAATCAAAACAATCGATCAAAAGAAGAAAAGTAATTCGAAAAGTAATTTGAATTACTTTTCTTCTTTTGATCGATTTGTTTGATCGAAAACATACGCTATTTTATTTAATACAATCTAGAGTCAATGACAAAAGGTTTTTCAAATTTGATTCACTTGTCAAATATCTTATCTTCTCATTGCTGCAATGTAAAATCCTGAATCCCTCCAACAAAAAATTATAGACTTCCTTTAAAAGAACTGAATATAAAATGTACATTTTTCAAAAATGTTTCAAAATGCATAAGTAATTTTTCTTTTTGTTGTTGAGATTATGCTTAAATTATATACTAAAATGCTGTTTCAAACATTCATAAATATAACAACTTATTAAAGATTTCAAGGTAGCGAAATTTTGTTAAAATGAGATTCGATAGTATTTACCTAAATAATAAAATAATGAAAATTTTATTTAATACCAAATTGAAGCCTATTAATTTGGTGTTATTTTTGTTAACCACTGCAGTTAAACTAAAACAAAAGTTTTCAACATACATCAAAATCAAAATTATTTTGCTGATGGAGATATAAATTAAAAGACGACTACATAATTCAATAAACTTACTTCTGTAGGGCTTCATTCAAAGCATTTTCCGCCTGCATAATATCATTATTTAATCTGTCATTCTCTCTTTTATACCTGTTTAACAAACCCTAAAAATATTAATACTTTATTAAAAATAAAACATTAAAGAAACTAATTTTTATACTAAAGCATTCGTTTCTAGCACACATTCCATTTTCCCTTTGGTATTATTACACAGTAAACTCATTCAATCAAATTAATATCAAAAGTTAAAATTCACTGCAGCAACTCATCAAAGTTTGTAACATAATGCATAAACCACATTTGGCATTATTATCAGTTATGACAAAGATACCAAATATCAACACATGCTAATATATAAACTCACATATACGTTTAAATTTTTTTAATAAAAATCTCTAATATTTTTTCAGATATGCCTAGAAACATACCTTCTTTAGGATGGTGTTAACAATTAATAGGTTATATTTCACCTATTAATCGGGGGGGTCGATTTCTCCCCTATTAATAAAATTCACCCTTCGATTCTAAAAGATTGTGTTTCTGTCTTGAATTCTTGAGGAATTTATAGTATATCGTGTCAGTGTGGTTTAAGATATATCGGCCAAACGAAAAGAGCGTTGAAGTTTCGTATCAAGGAACATGAATCTTATGTCAGAAAAGGCGAAATTAACAAGTCTTCAATAGCATATCATAGTTGGACTTTTAACCATAATTTGATTTTGGATTTGCAAAAATTATCCAAAAGGCTTCTTCCATAGGTGAATTGGATTTTCTTGAGGCTTTTCACATTCACAAAGATTTAGCAGGTTTAGTTAATGATTTGAAGTCCAATCCAGTCCTTCCTAATGCCTTTAAAATTCTACTATCTTAATTCAGTTATGTTTGCCGATAGATGGTGTTACCTCCTCGTGTTTGGTACTACCAGAGGGTATAAAAATACGTTCAGTGGTTGCTTTCCATTATTTGAAGTTCAGATTTTTAGCATAAGGTGCATTTGCCCCTTGTTTCCTAATTTAACTTCGCTAATTTTTCATGCTCGATCAGATAGCCTGGCTCAGTAAAAGTAGGCGGCCAGTGCAACTCTGATTAAAAATCTAGTTATAACCATGTGCAGTGCTGATAAGGACCACGTGTTTCTGTGACTCCTTCTCCTTTATTTTCTTTTCTAGGTATTTCTTTCTCCTGATGAGGAGGGACCTTTAGCTGCCCTCGAAATCGATTGAGTGTTTCATTATACCTACGCTAAACACAAGGTTGTTTTTACGATTTTGATTGTCACATTAGTGTGTTTCTCTTCTAGTCTATATTTCAAATTGTTTCTGAAAAATTTATAAAAATTATTTCAAAATACAGATTTTTAAAATAAATAAGAAGGAAGTGTGAATTTTATTTGAATTAAACCTAAATTTCAAACTGCAAAAGATATCAAGCATAATTAAAAAAGTGATATTATTTAATGTACACCAAATTAAAGTCACATTGCAGAGTTACAAATATGACTGCTAATTTTAAAAAACTGCTTGTGCGATTTTTTGAAAACTTGACACTTTGGCATAATTTGAGGTGTACAATCGAAATATGGAAAAAAGCCAGAATATCATTTCAGAAAAAGTTCGATTTTGTGTTAGAATTCAATGTTAGAACAATAATGCTATACAGATATCTAATATATCTAAGCCAAGCTTCTGAGACATGAAAAACGTAAGTTGATCAGTCAATTACAACGGGAGCTGTAGAACTGATAGAACTACAAAACTTTTTTTTGGGGGGGAGGGGACCTTTCAGCACATGTTGTCAACATGCATATTTGTGTACATATTAGCTACCTGTAATAATTCTCTTCAATAAGAATAATACATTTTTAATATATATACATGTCTCATAACAATAAACAAAGATGTCACTAAATTGGCACCACTGCAAAACGCAATAATTAATCACACTCTTTATTTATATAAGCGACATAAATAAATGATGTCATGTATTACATTTTCTTCTAAACTACTCAATTATCTATGTACCAAACAATGGATTACAGTTTAAACATATTTTATAAATGGTAATGTCATGAATTTTTTGCACTTTTTCTAGCATTAACTTTCTCATTGTCTACTTTTTTCATCAAAATGGGTTCAAAAACTGCATATTTTTTATTACATATTTCAAATTTATATATATTTTAGAGTTAAATTGTAAAAAAGTTTCCCCCTTCCAATATAGAATTAGATCATAGAAAAAGGTTGTCAGAAAACTGAAATTGAAGAATAATGATATAAAAGAAAAATTTTGAAAATTAATATTGGTTAAATTATGATTTATTTTATAAAATACAAAGGTAAAACATATATACTAATGAAAATATTTGCATAATGTAATACAGTCAAAAGTCGTTAATTCGGACACCCATAATCCGAAATGATATATAATCTGGACCTCAAAGCTACAAACTTTCTGCACATGCATCGCGTTGAGGCATGCACATAGGCGTTTACCCGTGTGCGTAAGACCTTTACAGCTGTGAATATGCGTGTGGGCACGTGCATAATACATTTACGAATGCGCATTTAATGTATAACGGACGGTATAAGCTAAGCTAAAATTATCAAATTCAGTTAATGTTGCAGATTGCGCTGTTCCTTAATCTTCGAATTGGATCCAGCTTATTATTTTTGCAGCTTTAGAGCAATTTATAAAAAGTAAGCTTGAACTTTCGAGTATGTCAAATAGAATTTCCGATATATATTTACTAATATGTAAATATATATAGCGAAAGTATGTTTCGAAATCCGAAATCTGTTTATCAATTTCACGCTGCTCTGTGGCCGGGGGGGGGGGATGCCACGGCAGGCAATGAATTGGAAGTTGATCTGTCAGCATTATCCTTATCTTCCGGGCAGATGTTTTTATTTTATTTGGCTTATAATTCCTTACTAAATGTAGTATTTCATGTCGATGTACTTCGTCTTTGATATGATTTAAATCAAGTTCCTCGTCATTATAATTCGCTTCCGATAGTGAAGAAAGTGACAGAGGTTATTGAAAACGAAAAAATTTCGATTGACAAATTAGTCCGTATTCTCGACACAGCAATTATTGGACTTGAACAACGGAACTTTGTAACTAAACAAGAAATTATGTCTGTTTAACAGAATTAAAGAGAAAGTATTATCACATGAAACGAAGCAACTTAAACAACTTACATTGAAAGAAATGTTTAATAAAGTAAACAAATAAATATTAAGTTTTTTCTTTTTGTAAATTTTGATACCCTTTAGATCATAATTGTTCTTTATTTCATAAATTATGGTTTCATATTTTTAATTTTGTAATTTCTGCATGCCATCTTACCAGATTTAAACTGATGATCTATAATCCGGAAAAATCGATAATCCGGAATCGCCGACGTCCCGACGAATCCGGATTAACAAAGTCTTTAATCCAGACATCCATAATTTGGAATGATCTATAATCCGGACCTCAAAGCTACAAACTTTTTGCACATGTGTCAATGCATAATGCGTTAACGCATGCACATAATACCTTTATGCATGTGCATATGCGTTTAATGTATAATGGATTTTACGCATGCACGTTTAATGTATAATGGACAGTATAAGTAAGCTAAAATTATCTAATTATCTATTTCAGTTAATGTTGCAGATTGCATTGTTCCTTAATCTTCTAATTTTATCTGGCTTATTATTTTTTGCAGACTGTTAGAGCAATTTTATAAAAGTAAGCTTGAACTTTTGATCATGTCAAAAAGAATTTCCGATTCCGGAGCTGCAAAGTATCTACAAAGCGAAAGCATGTTTCATTGTCCATCAAACAAAAAGTGGAATTGCTGTAAAAAATGGATAAAGGCATATCCTTTGTTTCTCTAACTATTCTGAAATTTGTTTATCAATTTCATGCTGCTCTGCAGGGTGGGGCATCGCACAACCAGTTTCCTGTGAGAGAAATGCTCCAACTCTGACACAACCACCTCCAAGTTACAAATCACACTGTTTGGCAATAATGTATATCTAAAATAAGCTCTATAACAGCATTTCAAATTTCTCATTTACTAATTTTTTCCAAGGAATTTTTTTTTTTTCCTACAATATTAAAATATTCCAGTTACTTAAGTTTTCTAATAATTGAATGCCGAATAGTCTGACTTTTACTGCATATATATGTGGGTTCTTTAGTTTCGAAATACCAATTCATGCTCAAACACATTTAATAAAACATTAATACATATATAATGTGGTTCATCTATTAATACAAAATCTATAACATCGTTTATCTATTACCACGATATCTATAACATCTTATATCTATTAATATGCCAACTATAACGTCTTACATCTCTTAATTCCACATCTATATCTATAAAACAATATCATACATCTCTAAAACAACATCTTACATCTCCTCTCATAAAACAAAGTGGCGAGAGTTCTATTAATTTCACTCATGCAGTCAACAGCTAAAATTCAGACAGCGCGTGAGAGGAAATTATTAAGCTAAGGATTTAAAATCCCACATTCGGCCTTCCTGCTATGCGTCGACCTCGACGACATTATTCTACTCTTGACAACATAAATCATTGGTCATCTTACATCATCGTTGTCTTCAGTAAAAGAACCATCATCAAGAATAAGCCGAAACCTGAAAATAAGTACGAAGGGAGAGATGAAAATTGTGTGTCAAGGACAAAATTGAAAGAAAACATTTTAATTGTCCGTCATCTTTGCAACAATAACACCGTCAACAGTCCCTTCTATTTTTCAGAAATTTCATCTGAATCGAAAAATATCTCTTTAACATTTTTGAAAACGTTCATGTCATCTTAAAAATAACATTAACTGAAATAAAAGTCACTATTAGATGTGAAAATCACAGTTCGGTTATCAGTTGTATCACTTCAGGTTTAAATGTCATAATCAGTATTATTTTATGCATCTTCTTCTGCTTGAGTCAGCGCATGTACTTGCTTTAGTGGGTCCTTTGTGATCTCCTTCTTTTACAATATCATAGTAATCATTATTCTTTACTTTGATAATCGTATACGGGCCTAAATACTTTGATTTTAACTTAACGTTTGATCTAAATTGCATTC